TTACATATATTTTATTGTTTATAATAAAAATCATCTATACAGAAGTCCTGGGTGTTAATTTTAATATTTTGCACAAGACCTGTTTTCCATATGTTAACACCTACACTTTCACTAACTGTTGATGCTATTTTCTATTGAGATTCTGGAGCCCAGGGAGCTATGTGTTCATTTTATTTTCATTCTTACTTCCCTGAAGCAAGAGACTTTGTATGGCCTTCAGTGCAAAGACTTCAGACCAATTCTTTGTATTACACTTGGTTGCCTCTTGGCTATATAACTTCTGAGTGCAAATCATTGAACTCTTTAACGAAGTATTGTAGAGAATAAATTATAATGGGTAAAAATTGTCTTTGTCCTGCCCTTTTTTTTTTTTTCTGGAATAGTGGTAATTCCTTTTTAAGTTTATTTCAGTAATCTCTCCACCCAACGAGGGGCTTGAACTCACATCCCCAAGACCCAAGAGTCTCACACTCCAGCTGAGCCAGCCAGGCACCCCTCACATTCATTTATTTTGAAGATTTTATTTGAGAGCGCACACAAGCAGGGGACGAGGTGGGGGGATTTGGGGGAGCAGGCTCGATCCCAGGACCCTGGGATCATGACCTGAACTGTAGGCAGATGCTTAACCGACTGAGCCGCCCAGGCGCCCCAATCATCTTATTTTTGAAGACAGCCAACCAGATGGTGTTTTTAGTCAGCCTGTGTGTTTTGCATGGTGTCCATGATCCTCAACGTATTTTTTTATTTGCATTTGTATTTTTTTGTGTGGTTGGTAGCAATGCCCCTGGCTTTTTAGAACCAAATTTCCTGAACTGAGGTTCATGTACCCTTTAAAATTTGGGTCTTTCTAGAAAGAAGGTTCATAGTTTTCATTAGATTCCCCTTTGAAACTGACCTTATCCAAAAAGCTAAAAAGCGGGGGGAGGAGGGTGGTGCTCAAATTTAAGATCTCATTTGGTGACTAATTAATCCAAGCAAAGACTCTGGGACATATTGGTGTGGTCTAACCTTAAAGGGAAACATTCATTTTGGAGGGCCCAGAAAGGATGAGATGTGTTTGAAGAAAATGGCCAGAATAATTTTTCAAACATATAAATACACACGTGCTGCAATTGTCAGTCTCAAGTTCAAAACTTTATTTGCAAGGATGTTAATTTTTTTTTTCTTTAAAGATACCCAGTTCTGAGGCCCTTAACACTTGGCAGAACTCCTAACTACAGATATGCATGCTGTCGGGGTTAGATAAATTGGAAATAGACTACAAGCAACTGTTAAAAATCGGTGATAACACTGGGGTGTCTGAGAAGGAGTCTCTCTGTGTTTGTTTTTTTTTTTAAGATTTATTTAAGAGAGAGCAGGGGGAAGGGGCAGAGGGAGAGACTGTGCTGAATGTGGAGCCCGACGGTCTCCATCTAACAACCCTTAGACCACCACCTGAGCCAAAACCAGGAGTGGGATGCTTAACCAACTGCACCACCCCAGATTCTCTGTTTCTTAAAGAGAAATTTTGGTTCTAGAAATTACTGTTCCATATTATAATACTACCTGTAGTTCAGCAGCATGGAATTCTGTATCGTTGGGTTTTTTGTGGGTTTTTGTTGGTTTTGTGTGTCTGTGTGCACACGCTGCTGGTGGTATAATGTGTATAACTAAAATGTGCCGTTTTATTAATTTTTTAAAAGATTTTATTTATTTGAGAGAGAGCACACAACAGAAGCAGACTCCCCACTGAGCAGGAAGCCCAACGCAGGGCTCAACCCCAGGACCCCAGGATCATGACCTGAGCAGAAGGCAGACACTTAACTGACTGAGCCACCCAGGTGCCCCTAAAATGTGCCATTTTAACCGTGTGAACTAAGCCACCTGGTCAGAGATCAGTGGGGCTAATTCTGGGGGTGGGGGAGGTGCTCTAACGCTGCTTCCAGATCAGTCTAGGGTTTGACCTTGGCTTGAATAACCTGGCTTTTTGATACTACTCAGTGAGCTGTTTGAAGGACTCGACTCTGAACCAACACTGTACAAAGAACCATAGTAGTGTACTGAGGAATGTACTGCAAGTGCTGTCCCTTCTGAGTCTGTTTTCCACATTCTAAAATGAAGCTCTGGCAAGGATTCTAGGATCTCTTCCTGCTCCTTACTCTCTGATTCCATGAGGTTCTGTATGCTAGAGCAAATGGGAAAACAAGTGACCCCTCCAGTTTAAGACTGTACCTATTGCTGGGGGAACTGAACAGGAAAGAGGTCTCAAATTCACTGTGAGCTTGCTGCCAATCTGACCTCCCACCTACTACCCCTAGTATGGTCATTCTTTCTTGGATCCCACCCTGGTTTCTTTTTTTTTTTTTTTAAAGATTTTATTTATTTATTTGAGACAGAGAGAATGAGAGAGACAGAGAGCACATGAGAGGGGGGAGGGTCAGAGGGAGAAGCAGGCTCCCCGCCGAGCAGGGAGCCCGATGCGGGACTCGATCCAGGGACTCCAGGATCATGACCTGAGCCGAAGGCAGTCGCTTAACCAACTGAGCCACCCAGGCGCCCCCCACCCTGGTTCCTGATGAAAGAAGAAACCCAGGATGCTGATCCTGGAATCTTCAGGCTGGCAGTCAGATAGGCCTGAGCTCCAATCTCGGTCCTGCTGTTTATGAGCCAGACAACTAGTTACTACTCTGAGCCAAATGTTGTGCTTTGTGACAGGACTGAACCTCCAAGGTAGCCTGCTGGAAAGGTTTTGCCCAGGCACCAGCACACTGTTGCAATGGCTGGATGACTGTGACTCTCTGGACTGTTAACCAGTGCCAGATGTAGGTGTGGACAACTAGGCAAGTATCAAACCCTCTCAGAACCCTAAGCTACTCTGGACATGTGAAAGGAGGAAGCATAGCTATGCTCAGTCCTTCAAGTCAGGACAGGCTTTCTGAAAGAGGTGGGTGCTGAAGTAAGCCCAGCTTGACCTCAGGAAGAGAGGGCTTTTCAGGTAGAATCTAACAATGCCAGCACAGGGCTCACTGCCCTGTCACATTGCCACAGGGCAGAAAGGCTTTAGAATCCAAGAGCGGGACTTCCAGGGCAGGCCCCTGAAGTTTTTGTACCTGAAAGTCAAGGGCTGTTTGCAGAATTACACAACCTCCTCCCACCCCCATATATCCCATTCTTTTGTATCTCTAGAGATTGTATTAATAGGAAAAGGGAGAGGGGTACGTGTTTATTCCTTTGACTTCCACAGTAGCATTTACCAGCAGAATTCTTTCCAGCAGCGGGTGCCAAGAATTTTTTTTCTTTTTTTAATGAGAGAATAGCTTAAATTGCGAAATTCTGTACATTAACTTTGAGTGTACAGAGAACTGGGAAACATCAGGCTATATTAGGGGCAGAACACCTGGGTCCAGGAAAGACATTAGTGATTCAGTCAGCAAGAGATTCTTTGAGAAGTACACCAAAAGGTAACAAAAGGTGTAAATTATTATTTGGATTGAAAAAAGGATAAAAGGGCACCTGGATAGTTCAGTCGGTTAGGCGTCTGCCTTCGGCTCAGGTCATGATCCCGGGGTCCTGGGATCGAGCCCCTAATCGGGCTCCCTGCTTGGTGGGGAGTCTGCTTCTCCCTCTCCTTCCGCCCCTCCCCTCCACTCATGCTCTGTCTCTCGCTCTGCTCTCAAATACAAATTTTTTTTTTTTACATTTATTTATCTGAGAGAGAATGAGTGAGAGCACAAGCAGGGGGAGGAGCACAGGGAGAGGGAGAAGCAGACACCCCACCGAGCAGGGAGCCCGATGCAGGGCTCGATCCCAGGTCCCCGGGATCATGACCCGAGCCGAAGTAGACGCTTAACCGTCTGAGCCACCCAGGCGCCCTGCAAATTAATTTTGTAAGAATTATTATATTTAGGGCGCCTGGGTGGCTCAGTCGTTGAGTGTCTGCCTTCGGCTCAGGTCATGATCCCAGGGCCCTGGGATCGAGCCCCGCATCGGGCTCCCTGCTCAGCAGGAAGCCTGCTTCTCCCTCTCCCACTCCCCTTGCTTGTGTTCCCTCTCTCGCTGTGTTTCTGTCAAATAAATGAATAAAATCTTAAAAAAAAAAAAGAATTATTATATTTATAAATCAAAAGAATATAGGTACATATTCTTGTCTGGTACTATCTTTTTTTTTGGTAAACAGTTTAAATGATACCTAAACATCTTTCACCAGAGACAATGCACTGATTACTTCCTTTGTTGTACAATCTTCTATTTTCTCTGAAGTTGAAAACAGCATCGTTTTTCATTTGCTTACTTTTCTATGTATCATCCAAATGTTCCAACAGATGTATTAAAGGCCTCTCAGCATCACTGTCCATGTTTCATAAGTATCAGAATAATCCACCATAAATCAATGTTTTTTAAGATTTTATTTTTAAGTAACCTCTAAACTCAGTGTGGGACTCAACCGACTAAGCTAAACAGCTACCCCAATCAAATTTTTTAAATACTTAAGCGTGAAAGAAATTCCACCGTATGTTTTCGGAGTCACTAGCCCAGTTTCCATCCACGGGAGTTCCCAGGGTCAGTCAGTCACTTAGCGCGTTTCTGCATTTCATCTAATCCTTCCCCGGCCCTGGGAAGCAGGCCTTACGACACTTCACAGGCGACGAAGCTGAGGCTCAGAAAGGCCCAATGACCAGTCCCAGCACGCGCGACAAGGGATCCTCGTCGCCCCACAAAGCTCCACACTCCGCCGGCCCCGGCCGCCTGGGCTTCCCAGAGGGCCACGCCGCTCCCACCAGCCTCCTCTCCGTGCCCGCCCGCCCCGCCCTCTTCGACCACGCCCCTTCCCCCCTTGGCCAAGACCCGCGCTTCTGCGCTTCCGGCGTGCGAGTGCTTCCGGCGTGTGCGTGCGGTTCCCCGCGCGCTGAGCCCAGGCGTGGTGTGGCGATGGCTGCCGGCGGTAGCGACCCGCGGGCCGGCGACGTAGAGGAGGACGCCTCACAGCTTATCTTCCCCAAAGGTGGGGGTGGCGTTGCCTCAGGCCTGGCGTTGCCCAAGGCCTGGCAGTGGCAGGCAGCCGGGCGGGTCGCCGGCGCGGAGAGGGGCTGGGAGGCTGGGGGATGCGGCCGTGGGAGGGGCCCGGGCGGCAGGATGCCTCGAGAGGGGCCAGTTGGATTCCACGGTTGCTGCCCTGGAAACTTAGGCGCCCAGCTCCACGCTGCTCCTGAGCAGCCTCTTCCTACTTCCTACTTACTGTATTTGATAAACCGCGAAGTGCTGCAGGGATGTGGCAAGGATGAACAAAGCCGACACTAGTTACAGTGGTAAGGACAGATTTTAATAAGTCATACACGAATTGTAGGGGCGCTTGGCTGGCTCAATCCGTAGAGCATGCTAGTCTTTTTCTTTTTTTAACATTTTAGTTATTTGAGAGAGAGAGAGAGAGCATGGGGAGCGGGCGAGAGGGAGAGGGACAAGGAGACTCCCCGCTTAGCGGGGAGCCCTCGCCGGGTCTCGATCCTGGGACCCTGAGATCATGACCTGCGCAAGGGCGGACGCTTAACGCCGGAGCCACGGAGGCTCCCGGAGTCTGCTAGTTTTGATCTCAGGGTCATGAGCCTGGGCACGGAGCCTGCTTTAAAAAAAAAAAAAAAAAAGTAATACATGATTGCAATAGGGAAAAGAGCTAGTGTGTACTGAACTCAGTTTCGATTAGGTGACTGGGCATTTTAAAGGGAGAATGAAGGAGTGGAGGGGTTAGCCGCGTCTCCGTAGGATCAAGGAAGTGAAAAATTACAGAAAGCGGGAAGGGGAATTGATTGGTCCGTTTGAAACCCATTTAGTTTGTCAACTGGCGCTTATGGAATTTAGACTTCTACTCTCCCACAGCACTTTCTCTGAATTGAGAGACAGGGGCCCTATCTTCAGGTGTTGGCTGGGACAGACAGTAAATTATTTTTAACAGTAGCTGTCAGTTTTCACTGGCAGGCGCTTTAAAGGGGCTAGGGTCCAATGTAGGAATGTGGTCTTGAGCTGTTAGAAATTATGTTGGTATTTTGTTCATGTCTTTTTGGGCCAAAGTTGAAGCCCCAAACCAGGGCTCAGAGAAACCTGGCTAGCGTTTGGTCAGTCTTTGTCAGATGGCTAAAAGTACAGCACAGTTAGCTATCAGCGAACTTCCTTTGTGCAGTGACCTGTACTTTATTTGTAATTTAGAAACCGAAAATAAGCAGGAAGCTTAAGAGTTTTAAAATACCATATTTTACAGGTACTGGAAAATGTAAATAGGGGAAACCTTAACAATATCCACCTGTTTTATTTTATTTTATTTTTTTTTAAAGATTTTATTTATTTATTTGAGAGAGACACAGTGAGAGAGGGAACACATGCAGGGGAAGTGGGAGAGGGAGAAGCAGGCTTCCCGCGGAGGAGGGAGCCCAATGCGGGGCTCAATCCCAGGACCCTGGGATTATGACCTGAGCTGAAGGCAGACGCTTAACGACTGAGCCACCCAGGTGCCTCTACCCACCTGTTTTTAAATTATTGTATACACAGTAAAAAAAATGAAACTCTACACCCTTTCACCCAGAGGCAATACTGTAAACAATTTAGTATTTGTCCTTCCAAACTAATTTTATATTTATAAATAAATATATACATACGCCTTTTTATTTGTAAAAATGAGATTATGCAAAAGGAATGCTATAGCCTTTTAAAATTTTGATGATATATTGTGTAGTCCTTTTTTTTCCTCTTTCTCTCTCTCTCTCGGCCCAATGTGGCGCTTGCATTCATGACCCCAAGATCAAGTGTCACATGCTGTACCGACTAAGCCAGCCAGGCATTTCGTCCTATCCTTTTATTTTATTTTATTTATTTATTCATTTATTTATTATTTTTTAAGATTTTATTTGTCAGAGCACGTGCGCACTAGCAGGGGTAGCAGCAGGCAGAGGAGGCAGAACAGGCTGTGGGAGAAGCAGGCTCCCTGCTGAGCAAGGAGCCAAAGGTGGGGATCCCAGAACCCTGGGATCATGACCTGAGCTGAAAGCAGATGCTTTTTTTTTTTTTTTTTTAAGATCTTATTTATTTATTTATTTGACAGAGAGAGACACAGCGAGAGAGGGAACACAAGCAGGGGGAGTGGGAGAGGGAGAAGCTAGCTTCCCACGGAGCAGGGAGCCCGATGCGGGGCTCGATCCCAGGACCCTGGGATTATGACCTGAGCTGAAGGCAGACGCTTAACAACTGAGCCACCCAGGTGTCCCAGGTTTTTCTCTTTAAACCTAGTTTTTAAAGTTTGCTCACTGGTATTCTTACTGGTCAAGAGGATTATTTTAAATGAGTATCAAGGGTGAGCCCAAATGTCCATCGCCTGATGAATGGATAAAGATGTGGAATGGAATATTGTTCAGCCATAAAAAAGATTGAAATCTTGCCATTTGCATTAATGTAGATGGAACTAGAAACTATCATACTAAGCAAAATAAATCAGAGAAAGACAATACCATATGATTTCACTCATACGCGGAATTTAAGAAACAAAACAGATGAACGGGAAGAGAGAGGCAAACCCAAAAACAGACTGTTAACTATAGAGAGAAAACTGAGGGTTCCTGGAGGGGAGGTGGGCGGGGGGAATGGGTTAAATGGGCGATGGGTATTAAGGAGGGCACTTGATGGGTGTCGTGTAAGTGATGAATCACTAAATTATATACCCAAAAATAATAATATACTGTATGTTAACTCACTGGAATTTAAATAAAAACTTGAAGCTAGAAAAAATAAGTATCAAGATTTGTGTGATGGTAAATATTTGAAGTAGGGTTAGTAGGGAAACTACATAAGATTATGAAATCTGGAGGGTAGGGACTTCTGACACAGGTCCAATGCCTAGTATGTAATAGGTGGTGATCTGGGTGAATGAGTAAATAACAGATTTGTACAGATACAGAAACAGAATTTGGGATGCATTTTTTTTTAAGATTTTATTTATTTATTTTAAATTTTTTTTTTTAAGATTTTATTTTATTTATTTGACAGAAAGCGAGAGAGGGAACACAAGCAGGGGGAGTGGGAGAGGGAGAAGCAGGCTTCCCGCAGAGCAGGGAGCCCAATGCGGGGCTCAATCCCAGGACCCCAGGATCAGGACCTGAGCCACCCAGGCGCCCCTGGGATGCATTATTAATGTGTGTTTCCAAATACTTGGCCCTCCCTAACATGTAATAATTCTTAAAATAGTATAATATTAGTATTATGGAACCAGATTATCAGCTCAAGGAAGCTAAAGAGAAGTAATTGTTGGCCGTGCTCTATTTTGAAATCAGTAACTGGCCTCATTGGATACTGATGTGTCATTATTTAATAGCACATCCAGGTCAGGTTCTTTGATGTTAGAAACTGTCTAGCCAGACTGAGCTAAATTTTAGTATCTTATGAATGCTACTGTGCCTTATGGTACATCAGTCTGGACAACGATAAAGCTGTGGGATATGAGGCCTCTGGATTTATGCAGGGACAAAAACTTGCTGTTAGTCTCGAGGCAAAATGAACATTTAGATGCTCTTTTGAAGGAGTATTTTCAGCTGACATTTGTGCTTCTCACAAATAGAGTTTGAAACAGCTGAGACACTACTAAATTCAGAGGTTCATATGCTTCTGGAGCATCGAAAGCAACAGAATGAGAGTGCAGAGGATGAACAGGAACTTTCTGAGGTCTTCATGAAAACTTTAAATTACACAGCCCGTTTCAGTCGTTTCAAAAACAGAGAGACCATTGCCAGTGTCCGTAGGTGAGTGCTAAAGAAAGTTTTTAATAATCCATACTGTTGGACATCTGCGTGTAAAATGCTTTTTCCTCCACCACCGCGTGGTGGTGGGCATCATCTGTACCATTAATATAAGAAAAATAATGTCTTTGTCAGAAATTTAAAAACTGCTTGTAAGACCAAAATTCTCTTCGGCCACCTTGCCCTAAAAAACACACAGCAGTGTTTGTGGGTTGTTGTTTGTTTTTTTTTTAAATAAAGTGGGTTTATTACTCACCTTAAATGTCTTCAAGATCTTTATATGTTAATAAATATAAATCAGGAACATTCTTTCTGAATCTTTGCTCTGCCTCAGACAGCAGCTTTTAGCACTTTTTCCTAAGGCATTGCTTCTCAAATTGGGTCAGATGTAACCTGGAAAACAGTGATGTGCTAAGGCATATATGAGGTCATGGGAAAAACACATCTTCAGCTATCAGTTTTATTTGATGGTAGGTGATTGAAAACTTCTACATTAAAACAAACAGATACCAGCATATTATGGAATAAAACAAAAAAATGTATGTGAATTCTTGAATTAAATTACAAGGCTTAAAACCTCGCAGATGCAGAAAGTCATTTGAGCCTGTGCCCCCTGGTCACCTAGGGATACTTGTTTGCTCTGCTCCAGTGAAAATGCTTGAGAAGTACTGTCCTTAGGGAGAGCTGGTGTACAAAAAAGATGTACATACACAGATACTTTTCAAAGAGCCATTTATAATAGCCAAGGTTGCGGGGGGAACCTGAAACATTCAACAGTAATTAAATAAATTATGGTAAATAATTTGGTGAGATAATATATTGTCATTTAAATTGTGTTAGAAAATGAAAGTGTTCACATCTTAAGTATGCAAAAAATGAAGGTGATGAGATTATATGTGAAGTGTATATATATATAATTTTTCTAAAAAGCAAGTGTGTGTATGTTATAAAAAGTGTGGGTGTACACATGGAGAAAAGATTGGAGGGAAATGTGCAGAGCTTCTTAGCAAAACTACAAGCTCTTGGGCCTAGGAGATGACCTGGACACATTCATGAATAAAAGATCTCAGTATTATAAACATGTTGGTTCTCCCCAAATTAATGTGTACATTCAGTGCCATTCTGCAGCCTCAGGGGAATGGAGGGGTGGCTAATAAAATGATCTTAAATTTGTAAGAATTGTCAGGAAAAAAAATTTTTTTTTTTTTTAAGGTTTTTATTTATTTATTCATGAGAGACAGAGAGAGAGAGAGGCAGAGGGAGAAGCAGGCTCCCAAGGAGCAGAGAGCCCGATGCGGGGCTCGATCCCAGGACCCTGGGATCATGACCTGAGCCGAAGGCAGACGCCTAACCATCTGAGCCACCCAGGCGCCCAGGAAAAAAATTTTTTAAGAAAAATGAAGGTGGGGGGCGCCTGGGTGGCTCAGTTGGTTAGGCAGCTGCCTTTGGCTCAGGTCGTGATTCCAGGATCCTGGGATCGAGCCCCGCATCGGGCTCCCTGCTCATTGGAGAGCCTGCTTCTCCCTCTCCCTCTGCCTGCCACTCTGCCTGCTTGTGCTCTCTCTGTCAAATAAATAAATAAAATCTTTAAAAAAAAAAAATGAAGGATGGGGAGGGAGTGCCTGGGTAGCTCAGTTGGTTAAGCGTCTGCCTTTGGCTCAGGTCATGATCCTGGGGTTGTGAGATCAAGCCCCGAGTGATGTTCCATGCTGAGCATGGAGTCTGCTTAAGATTCTCTCTCTCCCTCTCCTCACTGCACATGCATGCTCTCTTTCTCGCTCTGTCTGTCAAAAATAAATTTTTTTTTTAAGATTTTATTTATTCATAAGAGACAGAGAGGCAGAGGGAGAAGGAGGCTCCCTGCTCCGTGGGGAGCCTGCTTCTCCCTCTGTCTCTGCCTCTCTCTCTGTCTCTCATGAATAAATAAATAAAATCTTTAAAAAAAAAATTAAAAAGAAAATTCAGCTACAGATTCAAATACAAATTTATTTTATATGAGTCCAGTATATGGTAAAGATGGCACTATAATTTAGAGAAGAACTATCTTTAACAGATTTTATTTATTTATTTTTTTTAGAGAGCAAGAGCACGCACGGTGTTGGGGGGTTGGAGAGGGAGAGAGAGAATCTTAAGCAGGCTCCCCAGCTAGCACAGAGCCCAACGTGGGCGCATCTCACCACCCTGAGATCATGACCTGAGCCAAAATCAAGAGTTGGACGCTTAACCAATTGAGCCACCCAGGCCCCCCTAGTGGGGAATATTTTAAAACAAAGTTCAAACACTATACCTTATACCAAACTTGACTCCTGAGGAATTAAGGATTTGAATGTAAACCATGGTGAATAAAGTGCTGTGTGATAAAATGAGTAAGTACATGTATTATTTTGGCTGTGGTTAGTAGGACTTTAAATGGGGGGAAACTTGATTGATAGTTGATGTAAGCTTTGTGAGGGCATATGTTCATTTTACAACAATCCCCTCCAAACAGATACGTACACTACTTTATAAACCTCTTCTCATGTAACTAAGTTTATAGTATTTTCTTTAGTAAATGAATATAGCTTTACTAAGTGACAAAGTTATGAGACAGAATGTGTGTTTATATTCTAAAACAGAAAAGTGTTTGGAATGGTACACTAAGATAATTACATTGATTCTGTGTAAGTAGTGATATGGGCAGCTTTTACTTTTCTGTCCTGTATTTTTGAAATTTTGTATAACTAATAGGCTTGTAATAGAATGATAAACACAGTAAATGTTTTGTTTCTGGACAGATAATTAAGGTCTTCTCTGAAACCAGATTTACCATGGATGAGAGCTATTTTTTTTTTAAAGATTTTATTTATTTGAGAGAGAGAGAACAGAGGGAGAGGGAGAAGCAGCCTCCCCACTGAGCAGAGAGCTCAATGTGGGACTTGATCCCAGGACCCTGAGATCATGACCTGAGCCAAAGGTAAATGCTTAACCAACTGAGCCACCCAGGTGCCCCAGATGAGCTCTATTTTAAGAGCTAAATGTGGGGGCGCCTGGGTGGCTCAGTAGTTAAGCGTCTGCCTTCGGCTCAGGTCATGATCCCAGCATCCTGGGATCGAGCCCCGCATCGGGCTCCCTGCTCAGCGGGAAGCCTGCTTCTCCCTCTTCCACTCGCCCTGCTTGTGTTCCTTCTCTTGCTGTCTCTCTCTGTCAAATAAACAAATAAAATCTTAAAAAAAAAACCAACTAAATGTGTAAGAAACCAAGATAGGATTTGACAGCGTTTTATACGATTTGGACTAGAAGTGCATTTAAAATAAGATGCAGTTTATACACATTTGTACAAAGTAAGGTATGCCTGTATTTATTTTTTAGATTTTTTTTTGTTCTGTTTTTGTTTTGTTTTAGATAAGTTTAAAAGAGAATTTCCTCCAAGTGAAAATATACAAACATCATGTGTTTGACATAAAATTAATGACGAAAGAAGCAAGGCAGAGTGATAAGAGCAGAGAACAGCAAAATAAATTCTTAGGGGAAAGGTTGTATAGTCCATAAGGTATATAGTGGTTTTTCTTTTTTCTTTTTTTTTTTTTTAATGATTTTTTTTTTTAAAGGTTTTATTTATTTATTTGAGAGAGAGCACATGAGAGGGGGGAGGGTCAGAGGGAGAAGCACACTCCCTGCCGAGCAGGGAGCCCTATGTGGGACTCGATCCAGGGACTCCAGGATCATGACCTGAGCCGAAGGCAGTCGCTTAACCAACTGAGCCACCCAGGCGCCCCTATAGTGGTTTTTCAAAAGTTATAATAGCAAGGGGTTCTCAGGCCTGATGTGTTCTTCTCACTATTGTTGTCTGCCTGATTTCATTGTAACTTCCTGTTCTCCAAGAATAGGAACAGGAAGTGATTTGAAAGTGGGATTTTGCAGCCAAGCTAACCGTATGGAAAGATTGCAAGTGCTTTACTTTTTTCTTACTAACTACCTTTTTTTTTTTTTTTTTAAGATTTTATTTATTTATTTGAGACAGAGAGAATGAGATACAGAGAGCATGAGAGGGAGGAGGGTCAGAGGGAGAAGCAGACTCCCCGCCGAGCAGGGAGCCCGATGCGGGACTCGATCCCGGGACTCCAGGATCGTGACCTGAGCCGAAGGCAGTCGCTTAACCAACTGAGCCACCCAGGCACCCCTTACTAACTACCTTTGATTCTCTTTTTCCTATTCATCATTCTTTGATTTTTTTTGTTTTGACTTTCTCCTCACGGTCAGCTTGTTGCTGCAGAAGAAGCTTCATAAATTTGAGTTGGCCTGTTTGGCCAACCTTTGCCCCGAGACTGCTGAGGAGTCAAAGGCACTGATCCCAAGGTTAGTACAGTCACTGTGCTAAGTTCTGTATATTAAATTCCTACAAGTAGAATTACTGTTTCTAAAAGGTGTGTGCATTTAAAATCGGTACAGATAGCACCAACGTTGAATGGAGTGCCCTTTTTAACAGGGTATGAAAATGGTGGTTTTATAGCATACCAACTGTTAGCAAAAATGTGGGACAGCTGAACTCTCACACTGGTGGTAGGACTGCAAATTAGTAGAGTCACTTTGGAGAGCAATTTGGCTACATCTAGTAGAGTTAAAAATGATTATACTCTGTGACCCAAAAAATCCATTCCTGGGTACGTGCCTAAAAGCAACTCATGCAGTTCCATAAGAAGGCATGTATTCTAATGTTCATTACTGCAGTGTTAGTGATAATAGAAACTTGACAGTCTGTCAGTAAACAAGAGGATGGATAAATCATTTATGTAGCAGTGAAAAAATTAATGAACTAGAACAACATGGAATAATAACAAATACCAAAATCAATTTGGAGTGAAAAAAATTGCAGAAGGATACACGTAGTATGATGCCATTTCCTATAAAGTTTAAAAACAGTGCTGCGTATGGCTTATAGATACATTTACATATGTATATAGTAAGTATAAAAATATGTATAGAAATGATAAATACAAATTTAGGATAATGGTTAATTCTGGGGAATGGGGGGAGCATACACAGAGCCATTAATTTGTTCCTGTTGTGTTTATTAAAGAAATCTAAATCAAGTAGGGGTGACTGTTAAGGTTAACTTATTTTCTATACTTTCGTAACTCTTTGAAACACTTCATATGTTTTTAAAAGGAATGGCAGAAATACAACTGAAGGGTGAAAGTGTATGTTTAGAGGAGAAGTGGGCAGGTGGTGCTCAAAGATTAGCGTGTGTTAAAGAGGATATTGTCAGTCGCTGAGACACTCATTTCTTTTGGTTTTCTTCTTGTAGCCTGGAGGGGCGGTTTGAAGATGAGGAGCTACAGCAGATTCTTGATGATATCCAGACCAAGCGCAGCTTTCAATATTAGTCTCCAAATACCACTCTGCTGCTGAGGGAACTACATCCCAAGCCCAGCACCACTGTCCTGATGTCTGGAGCTGACTTACACAGAAATTCCATTGCACTTGGGCTTCCTTTGGATAGAACAACCCAGCTTGGTCTTGGTTTAGGTTGCTATTTCAGATTTGACTATTGGACCATGATAACCTGACCTTGCCTCTGGGAAGGGTGAGGTGGGGTGATATGCATATAAGCTACACTGTTGACTACCTCATACTATGGTTTTGGCCCCTGTGTTATTTTTAAGTTTTTGTTTTAAGATTTTTTTTTTTAAGTAATCTCTATCCCCAATGTGGGGCTTGAATTCAGTACCCCAAGATCAAGAGTGGCATGCTCCACTGACTGAGCCAGCCAAGCACCCCTTTTTTAAGATTTTATTTTTTTAGCCTCTGTTATTTTTGATTCCTAAGATTTCATGTTTTAATTTCAATGTGTTTATAGTTTTTGCAACTACAGGAAACAACAGTCTTATCTAAATGCAAAAGGAAGAATTAAGGGGTACTTGGCTGACTCGGTAGAGCATGTAACTCTTGATCTCGGGGTGGTGAGTTCAAGCCCCACATTGGACATGGAGCCTACAAGCAAAAACAAAAAACCCCAAACAGGAACCCCAAATACAAATGCAAAAGGAAGAATTAAACAGGCCCTGTACCATCATCTGAAATCCTTACAGAAAGGATGATAGTGCTAATGACTGTGAGACAGCATTGACATCCTTGTACTTAACCCAGAAGTCAAGGAGCAAGGTCACCATGGAAAGCAGTTACACTGAGGATAACTGCCAAGCATGGAGGGCCCATACATAGCCTTGAGGTACATCAGTACTTGACCTTTTTTCTTGGACTGTTGAAGAATGTAGATTTGGAGGCAGTGGTCCTAAAGCACTGTATTCTCACTCCTAAAGATTTTTTTTTCCTTCAGAGGACAGACTTGAAGGTCTGAATACTTTGAAGACTCATTGGATAGGGCATCCAGTCCAAACCTCTGTCTTGCTATTTAGTAGCAGGTGATCTCTGTTGGGGGTGATTTGGAAAGAGGGAGCCTGCCCCTTCCTGGGCCACTACAGTGAAGTCACTCCATGTAAAGCAAGTTGGGGGAAACTCTTTAATAGCTGAACATTCTAGCTTTGTGCAGTGGCGGTATCTTAGCCAGTGAGCTTTATCCAAGGTGCAATTGTTGCTAATTGAAAGGAAAAAAAATAGCTAAACATTCTAGCTTTGATTTTTCTGAAAGGAAATATGCCTATTTTCTTCACAATTTGGAGGTTTTTGTTTGGAGTACTTGTTGACTCCAAATGAATGCATGATCCAAAAACAAAAAAAAAGGGAGAAATAACAAAGTCATTTTTTTTTTTTTTTAAAGTAGGTTCCAGGGACGCCTGGGTGGCTCAGTCGGTTAGGCATCTGCCTTCAGCTCAGGTCGTGATCCCAGGGGCCCTGGGATCAAGTCCCACATTGGGCTCCTTGCTCAACAGGAAACCTGTTTCTCCCTCTGCCTGCCATTCCCTCTGCTTGTGCTCGTTTGCTCTCTCTCTCTCTGACAAAATCTTTTTAAATAAATTAATAAAGTAGGTTCCACACTCAATGTGGGTCTCAAAGATGGAGAGATCGAGTCGGATGCTTTACCGAATGAGCCTGCTAGAGGCCCCGACAAAGTTAGCTTTAAAAAATTAAGATGGGGGCGCCTGGGTGGCTCCGTCGTTAAGCGTCTGCCTTCAGCTCAGGTCATGATCCCAGGGTCCTGGGATCAAGCCCCGCATCGGGCTCCCTGGTCAGCGGGAAGCCTGCTTCCCCCCTCTCCCACTCCCCCTGCTTGTGTCCCTGCTCTCGCTATCTCTCTGTCAAATAAAAAAAAAAAAAAAAAAATTAAGATGGTTTGGGGCAAAAGCCTGGCTCAGTCAATAGAGCATATGACTCTTGATCTTGGGGTCATGAATTAGAGACTCACATTGAGTGTGGAGTTTACTTGAAAGTAAAAATTAATAGGGGTGGGGCACCTGGGTGGCTCAGTCGGTTAAAAGTCAGCCTTTGGCTCAGGTCATGATCCTGGGGTCCTGGGATTGAGCTCCACTGGGGCTCCCTGCTCAGTGGGGAGCCTGCTTCTCCCTCTCTCCCCTGCTTGTGCTTTCTCACTATCTCTCTCAAATAAATGGATGGATGGATAGATAGATGATAGATAGATAGATAGATGATAGATAGATAGATAGATAGATAGATAGATAGATAGATAGATAGATAGATAGATAGATAGAGGTGCCTGGGTGGCTCAGTCAGTTAAGTATCTGCCTTCAGCTCAGGTCATGATCCCAGGGTCCTGGGACTGAGCCCATTGGACTCCCTGCTCAGCAGGGAGTCTGCTTCTCCCTCTGCCCCTCCCTGCAGCTTGTGCTCTCTCTCATGCATGCTCTCTCAAATAAATGCAATCTTTGGGGGAAAAAAAATGGTATCTGCTGGCTAAGACAAAAATAAAAAATCCTTTTAACTTCTGAAATGACATGCTTTCTAAGTCACTGATATTCTTGGTTAGTATTTGAAGGAAATAATCTTTTTTCATCCTTGGGCAGCTTCACTTCTTCACTCATCAGTGTTCTGAGTTATAAAATGTGGGTAATAGGGGGGTGGGGTGGGAGGGATGGGGTGACTGGGTGATAGACACTGGGGAGGGTATGTGCTCTGGTAAGCGCTGTGAAATGTGCAAGACTGTTGAATCTCAGATCTGTACCTCTGAAACAATGCAATATATGTTAAGGAAGAAGAAGAAGAAGAAGGTAGCAGGAGGGGAAGAATGAAGGGGGGGAAATCGGAGGGGTAGACGAACCATGAGAGACGATGGACTCTGAAAAACAAACTGAGGGTTCTAGAGGGGAGGGGGGTGGGAGGATGGGTTAGCCTGGTGGTGGGTATTGAGGAGGGCACATTCTGCATGGAGCACTGGGTGTTATGCACAAACAATGAATCATGGAACACTACATCTAAAACTAATGATGCAGTGTATGGGGATAATATAAGAATAAAAAATTTTAAAAAAAATGTGGGTAATAATTGTATCTATTCCATAGATATTTTGAGATTACTAAAGAGAGCCTGTTAGTGTCTGACATTTGTTAAGCCCCAATAAATGTTAACTGTCCTTAGTATCTCAGATGAGCAAGTATACATAGGTAGTCTACTTGCTTTATAGAAATTAAGGCAAGAATTTGGTAGCATACTACTGCTATTGTATCAGGCTATGAAAACAAACTGAGTTACTTCTTTGGTATGCAGAATTTTTAAAGAGAGGCAGTAACACGTGCAGGTTGACACCAAGTGGAATAGAACAGAGCTGGAAGGCAGACTTCAGGTCCAATGCAGGCCTGTGCGCTCTATGGCGAGAGAGTAGTGCGGGGCCATCCTCTTCACTGGCGTACCCCTGCTGTGTGTCAGCAATCCGTGCGCTACCTGAGAGTAGTCAAGTATATGTGTGCCTGGCGTAGAGTTAGGCACTGATAAATGGTGGTAAGATGATCAGGAGTAGATTAAAACATCAACATGCTAGGGAATCATTTGTAAAAGCAATGTCATGCTGTATTACAGGTTTGAAGTCTGGTCGGCATTCTGTTGGACATTGTTCTCTGCGGCATTTTACTGTTCAGAATAGTTGGCAGGAGACCCTGTAAAATCTTCAATCTGTGAAACATCATAGGCTCACTGTACTGTTTGCAAAGGCAGAAACATAACATTGAAACAAAGAGTCATGTTGTCAAACCCTCATCAGAAAGCAAAATTAACTAGGAGAAATGTGCCTGTAAATTGTCACTCTGATTTTATTAAAATTTATTGAACTTCAGGGGGCGCCTGGGTGGCTCAGTCGTTAAGCGTCTGCCTTCGGCTCAGGTCATGGTCCCAGGGCCCTGGGATCGAGCCCCGCATCGGGCTCCCTGCTCCGCGGGAAGCCTGCTTCTCCCTCTCCCACTCCCACTGCTTGTGTTCCCTCTCTCACTGCCTCTGTCAAATAAATAAATAAAATCTTAAAAAAAAAAAATTATTAAACTTCAGGCTTGAAAAACAGCATTTACTGAATGAAGCCTGAGCAGCATAAGCCATTCTTACCAAACATTAATGTTTTAAGCTTATTTATAAAACCACTGATGCCTACATAAAGACTTGCATGTGAGTAGTCATTGCAGCATTATTCATAATGGCCAATAACTGGAAACAGTACCCACCAACTGGTGAATGAATAAACAAAATGTATATTTCTAATAGAATACTAGTCAGCAATAAAAAGGGACACACTTTAAGAAAAACTAAATTACGGAGGCCCACAGGACATGCCAGTTGTGTAACATTTTTTTTACTTTTATGAAAAATTTAAACAGGGAAGCTCAAAACACCAGTACATTGATTGCCTTTCTGCTCATCACCTACATTTCACAGATAACATTTCTAATATTTGCTTCCTCTCTATTTTTGCTAGGAAGCAGTTGGAAGCAGCTTGATACTTTGTTGAAATACTTAAGCATGCATTTTTAAAAATGCCTTCTCTGTAAGTAGCATTATTGCACTTGGGAACATTGACCAGAATTTCCTGATATTTACTACTCAGTTCATATTCAAATTTTTCTGGGGAGAGTTGTGAGCCAAAGGTCAGACCCGGTGTTGGTATAATTTCATATTCTTTTTTATTTTATTTTATTATGTTAGTCACCATACAGTACATCACCAGTTTTTGATGTAGTGTTCCATGATTCATTGTTTGCATATAACACCCAGTGCTCCATGCAATACATGCCCTCCTAATATCCAGCACTGGGCTAACCCATACCCCCACCCCCCATAATTTCATATTCTATGAAAGCAATTATCATTAAGGATTTAAACTGACACTTGTGAAAAATATACATGTGGTCACTGCCATCAAATTGCTTTAAGGAACCCTGATGCAAATTGAAACTAGGTAATCTCGGGTCCCGAGTAGCACTTGATAGTAACATGTCTTCCTTCGTTGTCAGCAGGGACTAGAGGCAGAACCAGGTGAATGGTGGCAGCAGAGTGAAAGCAGGTCTGTATGCCCCCAAACCTGAAGTAACATTCAGATTTGGGTTATGCGTGACTCCCTTTTCCTTTGCATGCCACTGAGTAGGTACTTAGTAGTAAATGTTGAGCAAATACACAGCCCCTGTTTTGAGAAAGGTGAGTGTGGAGCTCAGGGAGAAGCAAGAATGTACCTGAGTAATAAAATCAGAGAAGAGGGTTCCATGAGTTGGGTTGAGGTGGTGGGCAAATAGCCCAGAATACACTTGGGAATTCTGAAGGACAATTAAGTCCAAGCTTTCCAACAGAACTTTCTGCAAGACAGGAATATTCTATGCACTGTCCAACATGGTAGCTACTAGCCACATGCAGCTATTGAGCACTTAAGGCTAGTGCGACTGAGGAACTGAATTTCACATTTTACTCAATTTAGATTTATTTATTTATTTTAAAGATTTTATTTATTTATTTGACAGAGAGAGAGGGAACACAAGCAGGGGGAGTGGGAGAGGGAGAAGCAGGCTTCCTGCGGAGCAGGGAGCCCAATGCGGGGCTCGATCCCACGACCTGATCATGACCTGAGCCGTAGGCAGACGCCTAATGACTGAACCACCCAGGCGCCCCTCAATTTAGATTTTAAAAGTTAAATAGCCACTAGTGGCTAGCGGTTACTGGATTGGACAGCACAGCTCTCAGCTGCCAACACAGATGTCCTGCAGGTCACTGAAATAAGGATTTCAGGTAGATTAACTGTTGACAAAAGCAGCAGTAATGATAGGACCATTAATCAAAATTTGGTCCCCAAATTTCTGGAGTTTAAAGATGTATATCGTTTCCTACGCATAACTGCGTTTTTCTGTGTAATACAAGTTCCATTTTTAAAAATCTATCTCCGGGGTGCCTGGGTGGCTCAGTCGTTAAGTGTTTGCCTTCGGCTCAGGTCATGATCCCAGGGTCCTGGGATCGAGCCCCACATCAGGCTTCCCGCTGAGCTCCCCCTGCTTGTGTTCCCTCTCTCGCTGTGTCTCTCTCTGTCAAATAAATAAATAAAATATTTTTGAAAATAAAAATAAAAAAAATTAAAAAATAAAAATCTATCTCGGGTGCCTGGGTGGCTCATTTGGTTATGCCTCTGACTTTGGATCAGTCATGATCTCAGCGTCCTGGGATCAGGCCCCACACTCAGCAGCGAGCCTGCTTCTCCCTCTCCCTCTGTTCCCCACCCCCCTCGTTCATGCTCTCTCTGTCTCTCAGAATCTTTGAAAATAAAAATCTGCCTCTACTACTACTACTTGTAGACAAAATGATGAAAGTGATTTTAAGGAAACATTTGGGAATAGTGAAGGTGAATATCTTTTGGTGAGAACCTCTTTCCTAATTCATTTTGCCTTTTCAGTAGGCTAATAACTTGTATGCCAAATTTAAAAATCAAGATGTATCACCTTTTAAGGTTTCCAGTATTCATATTTTGTAATTCTAATAAATCTCTCCCAGGTACGGGATACTTCCAGCTTCATGACTGATACCTTTTCAAATTGTACCTCTATCTCCCAAGCCACATCAACACCAGCTTGTGGCCATGCATGTGCTAAATAAATTCTCCTTGTTAATGGAGAGCTTGTAAGATGAACTTAACAGTTCTCCATATGCAAAGGCAACTGGAACTTATGGGTTTTTAAAAAACAGAACTTTCTAAACTTAGAAGAAATAAAAAATATGGAAAGACTTGATGTAAGAATTTAAAATTACAGGGCACCGGGGCGCCTGGGTGGCTCAGTTGGTTAAGCGGCTGCTTTCGGCTCAGGTCATGGTCCTGGGGTCCTGGGATCGAGCCCCATGTCGGGCTTCTAGCTCGGTGGGAAGCCTGCTTCTCCCTCTCCCTCTGCCTGCTTGTGCTCTCTCTCTCTGTGTCAAATAAATAAATAAAATCTTTTAAAAAAATAAAAATAAAATAAAATAAAATTACGCGGCACCTAGGTGGCACAGTCTGTTGAGCATCCGACTCTTGGTTTCTGCTCAGGTCTTGATCTTGGGTTTCTGAGATTGGGCCCACGTTGGCTTCTGTGTTGGTCTCTGCGCTCAGTGCGGAGTCTGCTTAAGATTCTCTCTTCTCCCTCTGCCTTTCCAGTTTATGCTCTTTCTCTTTCTAAAATGATAAATAAATCCTTAAAGCTAAAATCACTAACTTAAGGCAATCAACAGCCTGATAAAATTTATAGCAGAGAAGATAGGCAAAGAGTGAAGATGTATATTTTTAAAAGAGCTTTCATTATTTTTTAAGTATTTATTTTTTAGTAATCTCTGCACCCAATGTGGGACTTGAACCATGACTCCCAAGAGTCATATGCTCTTCCAACTGAGCCAACCAGGTGCCCCTGTAAAGATCTTTTAAAAATAAAATATTAAGGGGCGCCTGGGTGGCTCAGTCATTAAGCGTCTGCCTTCGGCTCGGGTCATGATCCCGGGGTCCTGGGATCGAGCCCCGCATCGGGCTCCCTGCTCGGCGGGAAGCCTGCTTCTCTCTCTCCCACTCCCTCTGCTTGTGTTCCCTCTCTCGCTGTGTCTCTCTGTCAAATAAATAAAATCTTTAAAAAAAAAAAAAAATTAAGACTCCAGTTTTAAAAAGGGTTAAGTATAGAGACATAAGTTATATCCAATTGCCAAATTAGTGGGGAAATGTTCAACCTAGTTTCAAAGGTGTTTAAAATGTGGAGTGCCTGGGTGGCTCAGTTGGTTAGGTGTCCAACTCTTGATTCTGGCTCAGGTGGTAATCTCAGGATCAGGCTCTGTGCTCAGTGGGGAGTCTGCTTGAGATTCTCTCTCCTCTGCCCCTCCCCTGACTTGTGCATGCTTGCTCTCTCAAATCTTTTTTTAAAGGTATTTAAAATGTGTTATTTTTAGGGCGCCTAGCTGGCTCAGTTGGTGGAGCATGCGACTCTCGATCTCAGGGTTGAGTTCGAGCCCCACATTGGGGGTAGGGATTACTTAAAAATAAAATCTTTAAAAATATGATATTTTTGCTTATGAAAAATGTACAGAAGGGGCGCCTGGGTGGCTCAGTTGGTTAAGCAACTGCCTTCGGCTCAGGTCATGATCCTGGAGTCCCAGGATCGAGTCCCGCATCGGGCTCCCTGCTCAGCAGGGAGTCTGCTTCTCCCTCTGACCCTCCTCCCTCTCATGCTCTCTGTCTCTCATTCTCTCTCTCAAATAAATAAATAAATAAATAAAATCTTTAAAAAAAAATGTACAGAAGAATACCCCACATTGCCATTTAATGAGCAACTTTATTGTGTCAGGTGCTGTCTTTTAATGAGGATACAGAATCAGGACAGGATGCCAGCTCTCAGAGTCTGTGGCCTCAGTGAGACTTAAGACATTTCCTGCTTACCATGCTTTTCTGTGTAAACTTTTTTTTTTTAACAACTTATTTCTTATTTTAGAGAGAGAGAGAGTGTGCACGGTGGGGAGGGGCAGAGGAAAGAGAATCTCAAGTAGACTCCCCGCTGAGCACAGAGCCTGAGACACCATGCTCAATCCCATGACCCTGAGATGGTGACCTGAGCCGAAATCAAGAGTTGGACACTCAACTGACTGAGCCACCTGGGCACCCCCCATATAAACTCTTCTTTTTCCAGCCTTTCATTGGAGTGAGTGTTATACCCCTGCCTTGATCTTCCTTGGAAAATTAAACCTCCTATATTATTTTTAGGTAGTTACCCTTAAAATTGAACACTCCTAATTGTCTTACTAAAGTCTTAGCCCTTCTAAGTAACACAAGGATGATGGAAGATGGAAACGATGTAAACGCTTTAGTTCTCATCACATTACCAACTCCCGAGTTCCACCCCCTTCCCCTTCAGGCTATTTTTGTTCAGGACTTCAGTTTGACCCTGTTTTCACCCTGGACACACACATACACGCGTATTAGTGTTTATTAGTTGTTATTTTACAGGCAGTGCATAGATTTACATACGTTTTTACCAACTTACTTGCTTATCGTTGCTCTCTGCCTATCTCCTTCCTCCTGGGTTTTCTTTTTCACAAAGATCCTCTTTTGAATTAGAGTGTGACAGTAAACATTCTCAGCCTGCCTTTGGCCAAATATGTCTTTTACTGTCATTTTGAATAGTAGTTGTAGAAGTCCATATTCTAGGGGCGCCTGGGTGGCTCAGTCGTTAAGCGTCTGCCTTCGGCTCAGGTCATGATCCTGGGGTCCTGGGATCGAGCCCCACATCGGGCTCCCTGCTCCGTGGGAAGCCTGCTTCTCTCTCTCCCGCTCCCCCTGCTTGTGTTCCCTCTCTCGCTGTGTCTCTCTCTGTCAAATAAATAAATAAAATCTTAAAAAAAAAAAAAAAGAAGTTCATATTCTATATAGACATTAACTTTCCAGGGTACTTTGAAGATCGTATTAGTCCTGTTTTATGACCTCTATTGTTGCTGATAGGAAATATGAGAGTCCTAATGTTGTTGGTAGATAATGTGTTTCTAATTGTTTTTATGATTTTTTTCTTGTTTGTTGTGTTCTACAGTTTCACTACAAGGTGTCTGGGTATGGATTCATTTTTATTCTCTTTAGGAGTTACTGTGCTTCTATGAGTGGATTCATGTCTTTTATGATTTGGGACAAGTTCTTAGTTATTGTCACTTTAACTGTAGCTTCTTTTCCATCCTCCCTCTTCTCTCCATATTGACTTTTATTAGATCTATATTTGATTTCCTTATTCTGTATATCGTGGCCTCTCTTTTATGTTTCTCATCTCTTTATCTCATGATGCTGCATTTTGAGTGATTTCTACACATCTATCTTTTCAATCACTAATTCTCTCCAGCTATGACTAATCTGCTCTTTAATGTATCCATGGAGGCTTTTTAAACAGATTCATTGAAATATAATTTATGTACCATAAAGTTCACTCATTTAATATGTACAAATTAATAATCTTTAGTGTATTTACACTGTTGTGCAACCATCAAAACAGTCTAAGTTTAGAACATTCCATCATTCCAGCGGTGCCTGGGTGGCTCAGATGGTTAAGTGTCTGCCTTTGGCTTGGGTCATGATCCCAGGTTCCTGGGATCGAGCCCCGTGTCTGGCTCTGTGTTCAGCGGGGAGCCTGCTTCTCCCTCTCCCTCTGTCTCTCCCCTCCGCTTGTTCTCTCTCTCAAATAAGTAAATAAAATCTTAAAAACAAAACCAACCAAACAAAAAACCCATTCCCTCACTCCAAAAAGAAGTCTTGTTTCCATTAACAGTCACTTCCCATCCCTCTCTGCCATTCCCACACTCCCCAGCCCTATCCATCAAGTTGCTTATTTCAGTAACTGTAGTTTTCTAGGGGCACCTGGCTGGCTTGGTTAGAGTGTGCAGCTCTTGATTTCAGGGTCGTGAGGTTGAGCCCCACGATGGGTGTAGAGATTACTTAAATAAATAAAACTTAAGGGCAAGAAAACTATAGTTTTCTATTCCATGATTTTTAATTTGGTGTCTTCCAAATCAGCCAGTTCTTTTTTTCATAGTGTCTTCTTCTTCCATCATGGTTTCTATCACTTCTTTTATAATTTTAAATATATTTATATTCTCTTTCATTCTCTTTGGTCATCTCAAGTTCCTGGTGTATGTTTATTTGTTTTGTATTATTTTGATCTTTAATTAGAATTGCTTTTACTGTGGAAACATGCCTGCATTGTAGGAGTGTTTGTGCAGAGGGGCTTGCACATCTCCAGGCCCATAGTATCAACGGCTTGGGAACATTTCTTATAATAATTTCTAGGCTTAGGGATTCCTATGCCATATGCCATGTAAATTTCAGGTTTTGATTTCTCAAAGGAGACTTCTTTTTCTTAAGATTTATTTATTTGAGAGAGAGAGAGAAAGTGAGCAGGGGGAGGGGCAGAGGGAGAGAGACTCCTGAAGCAGACTCCCCACTGAGTGCGGAGCCTGATGCTCGATCCCAGGACCCTGAGATCATGACCTGAGCCAAAATCAAGACTTGACTGCTTAACCAACTGAACCACCCAGGCGCCCCTCAGAGGAGACTTTTTTAACCCAGTGCCATGGATAGTGACAAGCGTCCTTGTCTTCCTGGGCCTGTGGCCAGAGCCCAATTTTCACTGAAGGGAGCCCTTCAAATTCCTGGCTTGATGCAGGGGGGCTCAGTGCTAATTTCCCAGCCCCAAGACTGAACCTGGACGTAAACTGAAGGAAGCCACTAGTCAGGCCTGATAACACCTCTCTGATTCCAACCAAAGTTGCTGCAACATCACTTTGAATTTGACTACTCTGGCTTTCATTTCCCAACTCGTTTCTTGCCCCTGGAGATTTCTCTTGCTTTTCTGGAAGCTCAGGTGGGTTTTTCTTTCTTTCTTTTTCTTTTTTGGGTCGTGGTGGAAGGCATATTCAATAATACAGTATTTCTAGGATTTTGTCTTAAGGAGTTTAGTCTGCTATGATGCTCCAGAGCACAGGCATTGGGAGCATACTTGAAACTTCTCACCCCACTGTGGCAGTCCAGCCACACTGAGCTTTTCAAGGGTCCAGAAAGCAACCAGTGTTGTCTGCAGCACAGCCTGCTGCTCTCTCTGTTTACAATGTCCTGCCCCTGGGGCGCCTGGGTGGCTCAGTCGTTAAGCGGCTTGTCTGCCTTCGGCTCACTCAGGTCATGATCCCAGGGTCTTGGGGATCGAGCCCCGCGTCGGGCTCCCTGCTCGGCGGGAAGCCTGCTTCCCCCTCTCCCACTCCCCCTGCTTGTGTTCCCTCTCTCGCTGTCTCTCTCTCTGTCAAATAAATAAATAAAAATCTTTAAAAATAAAATAAAAAAGATCTTAAAAAAAAAAAAAGAATGTCCTGCCCCTTCTTTTTCACTTGACAGTTGATTTCTAGTCTTTCAACTGCTCAGCCTTTCTCTGACAACTTTAAAACTCCCTGCAGACTTAGCTGCTTATGCTTTCCACCTGTATCAGCCACATCCCACATGGCTTTCTTTAGTTGGGTAGGTATGTGTTGAACACATATTAGCTGTCTCAGGTACTGTTCCAGCCTCCAAGGATACAGGGCTGACAAGGCCAAAAAGATCCTTTCAGGAAGCTTGCAGTCTAGTAAGGAGAGATAATGAGGTAAACAAACAAGACAATTTCCAGTAGTGCTACATGCATGAAGAAAACAGGTTAACAATGGAGTTACTGGGAGGACTACTTTAGGTTGGTTGGCCAGAGGCTTCTCCAAGGAGGACACCCTTGTGAAGTCTGAGAATCAAACATGCAGGGGAGAAAGAATACAGAGTGGAAGTGATGATTCACTAAATTCTACTCCTGAAACCAATATTACATTATACGTTAACTAACTAGAATTTAACTAAAAATTTGGAAGAAAAAAAAAATGAATACAAAGTGTAATGGCCCGAAGCTTGGGAGAAACAGAAAAAGGTAGTGGGCCTGAGGGCAGTGTATAGCTATGTAGGGAAGGGTTGTAGGGGACGGTGTGAAGGCGACAGCTTTGGAGAGGGAGCTGGCAGGGGAGGTGGGGGGCCAAGAGAGGATTGGAGACGGAAGGTACTTGTGAATGTTCGCATGTTTATCTGTCGATGGGAATGACCCGGGGGGCTGACAAATTTACTGTGTGGGATAGAAATGAACCACAAGAGCAAAGCCCAGAGAGGAAAGAAGAAATGGGGTCCAGTGGCTAAGTAGAGGAGAGGTACAATAAGAGCAGAGACGGTTTGTCTATTTTCATAGGAAGGAAGGCGGAGAATGTGCACAAAGAGCGCATGCATGTAAGCTAGTAGATTTGGTTGTGTGAAGACAAGTGTCACTAAGTTCACTAAACGACAGATATTTCCCAGGAACCACATGGTTGGAGGGGGGAGGGAGGTGGAGGTGGTGTTCCCAGATGAGGGAAGAGGGTTATGGCAGGTTGTATAAACAAAGGCACCCCCGAAATGGATCAAGTACCATAAAAATGTTCATACTCTGACCTAGTGATTCTATTTCTAGAAATTGTATACCAAATATCTGGAATACAGAAAAAGCTCTATGTCAAGAGCTGATTCTTTTTCTGATAGAGAAATAGTATGGTATATTATGGTCACTTGTTCATGGACTATTTCTCATCTAGTAAACAGATGAACTTTTTCAGGAGCTAAATGGCTTACAACCAAAATATTTTATTTATTTATTTATTTTTTAAAGATTTTATTTATTTATTTGACAGAAAGAGACACAGCGAGAGAAGGAACACAAGCAGGGGGAGTGGGAGAGGGAGAAGCAGGCTTCCCACCAAGCAGGGAGCCCGATGTGGGGCTCGATCCCAGGACTCTGGGATCATGACCTGAGCCAAAGGCAGATGCTTAACGACTGAGCCACCCAGGCGCCCCACAACCAAAATATTTTTATTTAGATGGACCTTAAGGACATTCTGCTATGTGAAATGTCAGAGAAAGACAAATACCATATAATCTCACTTATATGTGGAATCCAAAAAACCCAAACTCAAAGAAACAGGGAACAGATTGGTGGTTGTCAAAGGATGGGGGAAGGGGTGTGAAATGGGTGAAGGTGGTCAAGAGGTACAGACTTCTACTAATAAGATAAATAAGGCCTGGGGACATAATACACAGCCTGGTGACCATGGTTAATAATACTGTTTGTAGGGGCACCTGGGTGGCTCAGTCAATTGAGTATCTGGTTTTTGGTTTCAGCTCAGGTCATGATTTTCTGGGTCCTAGGATCGAGCCTTTGTTGGCTCTGCACTCAGGAGGGAGTCTGCTTGAAGATTCTTTGCCTCCCCTCCCTTCATGTGCCCTCTCTCTTCTAAAATAAATAAATAAATAATTTTAAAAATACTGTATTGTATGTTTGAAATTTGTTAAGAGTAGATCTTTTTTTTTTTTTTTGGAAGATTTTATTTATTTGAAAGAGAGAGCATGAGAGGGGGGAGGGTCAGAGGGAGAAGCAGATTCCCCGCTGAGCAGGGAGCCTGATGTGGGACTCAGTCCTGGGACTCCAGGATCATGACCTGAGCCGAAGGCTGTCGCTTAACCAACTGAGCCACCCATGCGCCCCACTAAGAGTAGATCTTAAAAGTTGTCTCCATTGGGAAAAAAATTCTATGTGAGGTCATGGATGTTAACTAAACTTATTGTGGTGATCATTTGACTATATATAATCATATATATAATCATTAATTATAATATAATGAATTATATATAATCATTAATACAATGTTCTATGTCAGCCACTTCAATAACGCTGGAAAAAATATATAAAACGTAAAAAAAATTTTTGATTTTGGGGCACCTGGTTGGCTCAGCCGGAAGAGCACGAGACTCCTGATCTTGGGGTTGTGAGTTGGAGCTCCATGTCGGGTGTGGAGCCTACTTAAAAAAACATTTTTTTTTATTTGACTGAAAGTAAAAATTAGATACTTGAGTAAACATACAAAAGAGGTAAATGTTTGTACTTCTGAAAGACGTTTGAGAACTGAACTTGCCTTCTCATCCAGGTCAGTTTTCTTCAGCTTAGACACGAGAGTGTCAAATGCTCAGCCCCCCTTCCCCTTATGGACTTGGGAACTCTGGGTCTCAGGCTTGTAGACCCCTGCTGGGCCTGCACTCATCTGGAAAGACAGGAGCAAAGGAGGGCCTCAGCTACCTCCTCTGATAGCCAACCGGCCCTTGGGTTCTCTGAACAGTACAAATCGACGAGAGGCCAAAGGAGAGTTCCAGGCAAGGCTTTATTGGGGCTTCTGTTCCCGCACAAAGGAGACAACACAAAGGAAAGAGTCCTCAGGCTGGCTCCGAGAGAAGAGGTCACCCAGAGAGCTGTGAGGAGACTTAAGCAGGAAAAGAATGAAGTCTAAACGTCTAGGGGCAGGGATTGGTCTCCCCCCGCTCCCCCCACCCCCAGCTTGCGCACTTAAATAAAGGCCATGCTTCTTCGTGCCGCCCATGTCTAATTAGCATATTACATCTCTGCCCCTGGGCGTGATTTTTAATATTATAATGAGAGACAAAGTGGGTGAAAGGTGGGCATTGGCATCCATCTTAGCGCTGCCCGGTTTGGTCCTGCGCTCCCAGCTGGCTTCCCTTTTAGGTGAATATCCTACTTCTGCTCTCGCGTGAGCTCTTTTACTCCGGGACAGCTCAGCTTTTCCTTCTACGGACCTAGCCGAAGAAGGCTGAATTTTGTAGTTAGGGGTGAGGGCACCCGAGTCTAGTCCCTGCCCTGTCTCACAGGGCCCCAAAAAAGGCGTCAGCAGTTTCAGTGCCTCCTCTTATGGTGCCAGCCTGCTGTTGTCCCTCTTAGCCACCCACATCCCCTGTACTGCAAACTCACAGCTGGGGGAACTACAGCTCTGCATCTGCTATTACAGATTTCAACATCTTTATTTGCATTTCAGCATCCGATGCAGATGCTGGCAGTTCTATGCCTCTGTAAAGTGGAAAAACAAAACGTTAGCTGTATGTCCTGTTATTGGTGGATAAAATGGGCTGGTTTAAATAGGCATGATCAGAATCACAGCTTGCTTCCCTATATAAGATGGCACAGAGACTGGGCGCCTGGCTGGCTCAGTCGGTTAAGCTTCTGCCTTCAGCTCAGGTCATGATCCGGGGGACCTGGGATCAAGTCCTGCATCACACTCAGAGCCTGCTTCTCCCTCTGCTCCTACCCACCCCCCACTTGTGTGCAAACTCTCTCTCAAACATAAATAAATAAAATCTTAAAAAAAAAAACTGTACAGAGGAAGCCCTTGGCAAAACTGGGATTCTGACTAGACTCTAATCAGACCTCACCTTTTCAGAAACTTGCTTCTGCCAGTTTTAATTTTCAATGAGTAGGGGTGTTTTGTTTTATTTTGTTTTAAGATTTTATTTATTTGGGGGGGAGAGGCAGAGAGAGAGAGCAGAGAGAATCCCCAAGCAGACTCCACACTGAGCACTCCTGAGAAGGATGTGGGGCTCCATCTCATGACCCTGAGATCATGACCTGAGCTAAAATCAAGAGTCTGGTGCTTTGGGACGCCTGGGTGGCTCAGTCGTTAAGCGTCTGCCTTCGGCTCAGGTCATGATCCCAGAGTCCTGGGATTGAGCCCCGCATCGGGCTCTCTGCTCTGAGGAAAGCCTGCTTCTCCCTCTCCCACTCCCCCTGCTTGTGTTCCCTCTCTCGCTGTGTCTCTCTCTGTCAAATAAATAAATAAAATCTTAAAAAAAAAAAAGTCTTAAATGACAGTGCTTAACCGACAGCCTCAGTGAACAGGGGTGGTTTGCAAAATATTTAACAACTTAGGGGCCATTGACCTTAGTGCAATCACACATTAAGTCTCTAATTGCCAGATCAGGATAAGATCCCGGGGAGATGGGAGTGGTCACAGGTTACTTAGGAAAGTATTTCAATATATATATATATTTAAAGATTTTATTTATTTGACAGAGAGAGACACAGCGAGAGAGGGAACACAAGCAGGGGCAGTGGGAGAGGGACAAGCAGGCCTCCCGTGGGGCAGGATCCCAGGACCCAGGGATCATGACCTGAGCCGAAGGCACAGGTTCAACAACTGAGCCACCCAGGCGCCCCAGTATTTCAATATTTTAGTAATTGGTATGACCCTGGGGTACTACCCAGCTGAATCTCCTCTTTTCCTTCTGTCTCTCTCACACATGTACACACACAGGTCTTGTACCTCCCAGGTTTATTTGCATTCGAAATAGAGAAGGACCCAGGACAGGCTGCCTTTGAGCCCAGGTGTTTGTGGCTAGGCACTGTTTTTTTTGTTTTTGTTTTTTTTAAAGATTTTATTTATTTATTTGACAGAGAGACAGAGAGAGAGCACAAGTAGGCAGAGCGGCAGGCAGAGAGAGAGGGAGAAGCAGGCTCTCCCCTGAGCAGGGAGCCGGACGTGGGGCTCAATCCCAGGATACTGGGATCATGACCTGAGCAGAAGGCAGCGGCTCAACAGACTGAGCTACCCAGGCGCCCCTGTGGCTAGGCACTGTTAAGTGTTTTATGTATCTTACTGAAACTTCACACAACACTTAAGAGAATTTTTTAAACATTCTAAGGTCTTTATGCTAATACTCATAACCTTCTTAACATCAGGTCATTTATTTATTCAACACGTTTTACTGAGTGCCCACCATATTAGGTTGGGATTAAAGAAGGAGAGCAAGATAAGAAGGTTTCAGGTCTCCTGGAGCCTACATTCTAGTGGGAAGAGACAGACAAGAAAAAAACAACTAAGTAGATTAGCCTGGGAACAAGTGCTATATTACATATAGTGCTCGGGGATGGCCTTCTTGAGATGTTATTTGAACTGCCAAGGATAGGAAAATCTGGGAGGGGGGGGTGGAGAGTTCCAGATCAGGCGAGAATGCTAAACACAAAGGCATGATTGGGGGTAGGGGTATGGGTACAGAGAAAACAAGCTGAAATGGCTAGAGCTTTGTAAGTCAGGGAAAAACTATTAGGAGCTGAGATTGCAGATGTAAGCAGACTTGGATTATGGAGCCAGAGGTTTGGATTTTATATGTTGGGAAGCTATTTGGAGGTTTTAAGTAAGAAAGAAATAAGATCTGATTTGTGTTTTAAACAGGTCATTCTGGCTACAGTGTAGAAAACTGGAGTTAGGTGGGAGGGGAAACTGAGATGAAAAAGGGAAGTGGAGAGAACAGTTAGGAGATTGCAAAAGTTCACACAAACATGGCTTGGACTAGAGCAAGGGTCAACAAACTTTCTGTGAAGGGTCAGAGAATATGTCAGGCTTTGTGGGTTATATATGTTCTCTGTCACATATTTTTAGTCTTTTTTTTTTTTAACCCCTTAAAAAGGTAAAGCTATTTTTAACTAGACTGCAGGCACAGTCTGCTTGTACCTGGACTAGAATGATAACTGTAGGGGAAGAAAAATTTTTCCTTTACCCTTCTAGATTCTTTTGGCTGGCCTATTAATTAAATTAACATAAGACAGATTAACAAGAGAAAAACAAACTTAATTACATATGTACGGAAGCCCCATAAGAATATGAGCTCCACAGGGGGCAGGGCGCTGGCTGGCTCAGTTAGTAGAGCATGCACTCTTGATCTCAGGGTCATGAGTTCAAACCACCACATTGGGCATAGAACCAATTAAAAAAAAAATTAGACCCACAATCAGGCAATTCAGGCTTATATGCCATCCTGAACTAAGGAGAAGACACCTCACCAGTGCTGATCAGATGATTCTGATGGACTGGTTAAAGGGTCACATTCCTGGGAAAGGCTGAAATTGCAATTAGTTTAGATAGTAAGTCTTGGTTTGCTGGGGTCTGGGACTTTTTTTTTTTTAAGATTTTATTTATTTCAGAGAGAGAGAGAGTGAGCACAAGTAGGGGGAGGAGCACGCAGAGGGAGAGGGAGAAGCAGGCTCCCTGCTGAGTGGGGAGCCTGATGCGGGGCTCAATGCAGGGCTCAATCTCAGGACCCTGGGATCATGACCTGAGCCGAAGGCAGATGCTTAACGACTGAGCCACTCCGATGCCCGGGTCTGGGACTTCTAAGGGGAGGAAGACAATTTATGGGAAAATGGGTACAGCAAATATTTGTTTACAACAAATATTTGCCATGCTTTGTAGAGACAGTGGGATGCAGAGGAATTTGATCTCCAGGCCCTGCCAGCTTCCCCCCCTCCCCCACCCAGTTTACCATGCCTGCCCCATATTCTTTGTAGTTATCTCTGGTGATAGTCCTCTTCCTGAACCATGCCCTCTATCTGAATTATTTCAGGCAGTTATGGGAGAGGTAAAAAGCTCTTCTTGAGTCTTTTGGGCCTTGATTGACTTCAGCCCAAAGTAATCTACATGCTAAAGTGGCACATTTTGGGGAAGCTTATTCTGAACCTCTTCAGAGCACTGGAGTTATGTGGTCAGATTTGTAATTTATTTTGAAGATTGAGCCATGTTATTCCATTTACCAAAGAAGAAAGTGAAACTCAGAAAAATCAATATTATGCAGTCAGTAAATAAGAGAGATAAAATGTAAACTCCGGAAAAGATTTGAACACAGACTTCTGTGGTTAATGGGATTCCTGGTGATAGAAAAGTATTTAGGACACAAAATGGGATGAAGTTTTTTTTTTTTTTTTTTTAAGATTTTATTTATTTGCGAGAGAGAGAATGAGAGACAGAGAGCATGAGAGGGAGGAGGGTCAGAGGGAGAAGCAGACTCCCTGCCGAGCAGGGAGCCTGATGCGGGACTCAATCCCGGGACTCCAGGATCATGACCTGAGCTGAAGGCAGTCGCTTAACCAACTGAGCCACCCAGGCGCCCTGGATGAAGTTTTAATAGAGGCATTTGCATATGCCCAAAGTCAAGGACAAACCCTGGAATGGGGACTGAGGTTGCTGAATTTAGTCCTTTTTTTTTTTTTTTTAATTTGTCAGAGAGAGAGAGAGAACACAAGCAGGGGGGTGGCAGGCAGAGGGAGAAGCAGGCTCCCTGCTGAGCAAGGAGCCTGACGCAGGACTTCATCCCAGGACCCTGGGATCATGACCCCAACCTAAGGCAGATGCTTAACTGACTGAACCACCCGGTATCCCTGAATTTAGTTCTAAAATTCTATAACAAGCATTTTTGAAAAAACAAAATTTAACTTAGTAAATTTAAAGACCAAATTGGCTTTATTCATGACTGATGAATCAGGCAGCATCCCATCTAGCAAACAGAATGGAGCTCTGAGGAGCTGAACAAAACGGAAGGCTTTTATGAGCAAAAGGGAATAGAAAAAAGTAAGTTTCTAGAAAAGAGGGGGTTGTTTCAGGCAAGGTCATCTTCCTTTGCAGGAAGAGCAGGGATCTGTTATGTAGATGACCTCACCAGTGCTGATCAGGTAATTCTGATGGACTGGTTAAAGGGTCACATTCCTGGGAAAGGCTGAAATTGCAATTAGTTTAGATAGTAAGTCTTGGTTTGCTGATGTGGGGCTTAGCACAAGCAACTCCATTTTTGGTCTGTTGTCTCTTTTTTTTCTTTAACACAGCAGTGGAGACAATAGAAGTCAACACCAGTTCACTGTGTGGTAGAATCAACACTCTGATTCAGGCCTATTGACATGAGGTCGAGTGTTCTTCTCCCCTGGGATGTAGGCCAAATCTGTAGTTGTGTATGCGGTATTCTAACATGAATTTTTCTCAAAGCATTAGAACTGTATATTTAAATAAACTATATGCATTATTTTCTTTGGTCTTTTTTTTTTTTAAAGAATTTTTTTTTTAAAGATTTTATTTATTTATTTGAGAGAGAGAATGAGAGAGAGAGAGCGAGCATGAGAAGGGGAGGGTCAGAGGGAGAAGCAGACTCCCCGCTGAGCAGGGAGCCCAATGTGGGACTCAGTCCTGGGACTCCAGGATCATGACCTGAGCCGAAGGCAGTCACTTAACCAACTGAGCCACCCAGGTGCCCCTCTTTGGTCTTTTAATTCAGACACTTCAGTTGGGTAGAGAGATTACTTAAATTAATAAATAAACTAAAAAAAAAAAAAAAAGAACATATGGTGATGGTGATTGCAGCATTATTTGTATTAGCAGAAGTGCCTGGCTGGCTCAGTTAGAAGAGCAGGCAACTCTTGATCTCAGGGTCAGGAGTTTGAGCCCCATGTTGGGGGTAGAGATTACTTAATAAATAAACTTAAAAAATAAATAAAAAAAGTAATCTAAGTGCTATTAGTATAGCACTCATCAAATAAATAAATAAATTGTTCAGCCATACAACAGAAAACCAAGAAGCTATTAAAAGGATGAAGGCTATATCTGTATGTGAACTGAGAAGGAAAAGAGTCAAGATATATTGCCACAGGAGAAGTAAGATAAGTTTGTATAGTATCCTATTTGTGTAGGAGAAGAAATCTTGCGTACAATATTTTCATACATGTGTCTTCGCAAAGGTACACTCTTTGGTAAGAGTGACTGCCTCTAGAGAGGTGTTAGGATGTGAGAGTGATCATCTTTTCACTGTTTTCCCCTTCATATATATATATATATTTTTTTAAAGATTTTATTTATTTTTTTGACAGAGAGAGACACAGCGAGAGCAGGAACACAAGCAGGGGGAGTGGGAGAGGGAGGAGCAGGCTTCCCGCAGAGCAGGGAGCCTGATGTGGGACTCAATCCAGGACCCTGGGATCATGACCTGAGCCGAAGGCAGACGCTTAACGACTGAGCCACCCAGGCGCCCTCCCCTTCATATATTTAATTTGGTGCCATTTGCATGTATTAATCCCCCCAAAATAATGAGGCAATTATTCAACCTTCTATTTTATTTTTTATTCTTTTAAATATTTTTTTCTATTTATTTGAGAGAGAGAGAGCACAAGAGCACCAGAGCACGAGCAAGGGGGAGGGTCCGAGGGAGAGGGAGAAGCAGACTCCCCGCTGAGCAGAAAGCCCAACTCAGGGCTCCATCCCAGGACTCTGGGATCATGACCTGAGCCAAAGGCAGATGCTTAACCAACTGGGCCACCCAGGCACCCCTAAACCTTTTATTAAAGACAATTTCAGGGTGTCTGGGTGGCTCAGTTGGTTAAGTGTCCAACTCTTGATTTTGGCACAGGTCATGATCTCAGAGTCATGAGATCAAGCCCTGTGTCGGGCTTTGAGCTCAGTATGGAGTCTGCTTGGGATTCTGTCTCTCCCTCTGCCCCTCTCTTCCCCACCCCAGCTCACGTGCTCTCTCTAAATAAATAAAATCTTTCTAAAAAAAGGAATAAAGAAAATTTCAAATACACACAAAAATAGAATAGCATAATGAATTCTCATTACCTGTCACCTTGCAAAGTTGTGTCATCTGTCTCCCTCTTTCCTCCCTTTCCCCCTTAAGGGTATTCAGCCATTAAAAAAAAAAAAAATCATTCCTCAGATTGTTGCAAACCCTTAGTTAATTTCCCCAATTCTGAAAAACTGCAAGGTTGATTTTGAGAAATTTTTGCCAATGTGTTGTTTTACGGAGGAGAGTCTTTTTGGATGTTCCTACTAACCATTTCTGCTGATATCCTTAGCTAGAATGTTTTAAAGCAAATACCATCATATCATTTTATATATTATTTAACTTACAAATACTTCAGAATGTAACTAATAGGAAAATATTTTAAAAATTTAATCAGGGGGACCTGGGTTGCTCAGTTAAGTGTCCGACTCTTGATTTTGGCTTGGGTCATGATGGCAGGGTCATGAGATCGAGCCTCGAGTTGATCCTGCTTAAGATTCTCTCTCTTTCTCCCTCTCCCTCTGCCCCTCCCACCCTGCTCACACATGCTCTCTCTCTCAAAAAAAATTAATAAAAAACATAATCAAATTTCATTGTTACATGTAAAAATTGAACAGTTCTTTTTTTTAAGTATTTTTTAATTTATTCATTTGAGAAAGAGACACACACAGAGAGGCAGACTCTGCTGAGCTGGGAGCCCGATGTGGGGCTTGATCCCAGGACCTGGAGATCACAACCCAAAGGCACTTAACCATCTGAGCCACCCAGGCACCCCAAAAAATTGAACAATTTTTTAATGTCATGTAATATCCACCCAATCCATGTTCAAATGTCCTCATTTTATCAAAAATTTCTTTTTTCTTTTTCTTTTTTTCCTGAAGTCAGTTTGTTCAATTTAGGTTCCAAACAAGAACACACATTGCATTTGGGTGGTATGTCTCTGGTTAAAAAGAAAATCACAGGGGCGCCTGGGTGGCTCAGTCGGTTAAGCATCTGCCTTCAGCTCAGGTCATGATCCCAGGGTCCTGGGTTCGAGCCCTGCATCGAGCTCCCTGCTCAGCAGGGAGCCTGCTTCTCCCTCTCCCTCTGTCTGCCACTCTGCCTACTTGTGCTCTCTCTCTCTCTGTCAAATAAATAAATAAAATCTAAAAAAAAAAACAAAAAAAGAAAATCACAGGCCCAAAATGGAGTCACTTATGCTAGACCACATCACCAATCTGGGGTTTAATCCCTAACCTAATTGCAGTTTCAACTTCCTTCAAATGTAGTCTTAACTGGTCAGTCAGGGATTTTTTGGTCAGTACCAGTGAGGTAATCTGTTGCGGGGGCCAAAATTAAGCCAACCCAAAATGTGCTTTCTTTTTTTTTTGGCCACAATATCACCATTTGTCACACTGAGTCTGAAATGCAATTCATGACATAATGACAAGTTCTTCACAAGTACTGGCTGAAAGGATGGTGGGTATATTAAGAGAGATCAAATAAATTGACAATCATATGGAACTTTTTAGATAAAATGGAGTTGTTCTGAAATGTAGATATTTTTTATTCTCTAACAAGACCTTATTTTGTCTTTTTAAAATAAATCAGGTTATCTTCTTGTTCCCCAGAGATGATGTCCTTTGTATCCTACCAGATGATCCAAATCTTCTTTAAATGTATTGCAGCCTTGTTCCTTTAAACAAGGCAGAGCCCAGAAAAGCTGGTCCAGAGGAGAAAATTCTTCCCAGGGAACCCACTCCCAACTTCCATTTTTTTCAGGCTCTGCATTCTTTGGTTCCGGGTCATGAGTCACATTCACCTCTCCTTTCATTAGTATGGTCACATAATGGTAATTTTCTTTCTCAACAAAGGAATTCACAACTAAGGCAAAGTGAATATTTTTCAGGTGAAGAGCTGCTTCTTCCCAGGTTTCCCTTTGAGCACATTCTTCCCACATTTCACTGAACACCAAATGGCCCCCAGGAAGTTGAAAACTGACGGCTTCAACTGACCCTTTCCTCTTGCCCAGGACACAACGAGGATGCCGGCTGCTAGTCACCATTACTCCTACCGTGATTCCAGGATGCCACCTGGGAGGCTCCATGCAGGCCATCATAGCTCAGGAGGACCTGGCAGAGGCCAGCCAAAATGTGCTACTTTGGCATACTGTTTACTTTATTTATTTTTAATATTTATTTATTTATTTATTTATTTATTTGAGTGAGCGAGCAGGGGAAGGGGCAGAGGGAGGAGAGAGAGCATCCCAAGTAGACTCTGTGCTGAGTGCAGAGCACAGTGCATGGCTCAATCTCACAACCCTGAGATCATGACCTGAGCCCAAATGAAGAGTTGGACACTTAACCTATTGAGCCACCCAGGCCCCCTATTTACTTATTTTTAGATTTTATTTATGTATGTATTGGGGTGGGGAGGAGCAGAGGGAGAGGGACAAGCAGACTCCCAGCTGAGCATGGAGCCCGATGTGGGGCTCCATATCATGACCCTGAGATCGTGACCTGAGCCAAAATCAAGAGTTGGATGCTTAACTGACTGGGCCATCCAGGTGCCCCTACTTATTTTTTAAGTAGGCTTCATGCCCAGAGTGGAGTCCAAGGTGGGGCGTGAACTCACTACCCTCAGATCAAGACCTGAGCTGAGATCAAGAGTCAGATGCTTAATGCACTGAGCCACCCAGGTGCCCTGGTATACTGATTATTTTAAATAAAAGTTACTTAAACAGCCAATGCAAAAAGAACTCTGATGCCCCTCTGTCTCCAGGAAACAGGAAATAAATCTCCCATGTGAAAGGCATCCTTTCTATACCAGGAGGTAAATATACATCCTTATTTCCAGAGATATGGCATTTAGACCTGAGAAGGCTATATAAATAATGCTATTACTTTTTACTAATTTACTACCCCAACATTAATTGTTTAAAATTCCTTGCTAATTGAAGCTCATGAACATGAATTTTCTTTGTCCTGTTAATTCCTCATAGATTTATTGTCTCTTTGTTTAAAAACTATAAAAACTGCCTGCCTTGGTCATTTCTTTGGGTCTGAATTTTGTTATTGGGCTTCCCTGCACATGTAATTAACTTGGCTTTTTTCTCCTGTTAATCTGTCTCATGTCAAATTTATTCTTAGACTAGGTTAGAAGAATCTTAAATGGTATAGGAAATTTTTCCTCCCCAACACTGTCACATGGGCCCTCTCCATTCTCCAAAGGAAGTTGAGGTATTCCACCTAATAAGATTGCCCTCCCCCCTCAGGGAAGGTGACCTTACCTGAAACAATCCTTACTTTTCTTTTGTTAATTGTCCCACCCCAATTCTGTTTATAAAACTCTTCTTTTGTGTAGCTCCTTGGAGTTCCTTTCTTTTTGCTGGATGGGATACTGCAGGATTTATGAATCACGTAACAAAGCCAATTAGATCTTTAATTTTGCTCGTTGATTTTTTTCCCCTAAGTTTCTAATCCCGTAATAGTTAGTATATAACAGCTTTCTGCCTCTTTTTTTTTTTTTTTTTTTAAGATTTTATTTATTGGCGCACCTGGGTGGGTCAGTCGGTTAAGTGTCTGCCTTCCGCTCAGGTCATGATCCCAGGGTCCTGGGATGGAGCCATGTCTTGGGCTCCCTGCTCAGCGGGGAGTCACTTCTCCCTCTCCCTCTTGTCTGCCGTTCCCCCTGCTTGTACTCTCTCTGTCAAATAAATAAATGAATGAAACTTAAAAAAAAGAAAAGGGGGGGTGCCTGGATGGCTCAGTCGGTTAAATGGTTAAGCATCTGCCTTCCACTCAGGTCATAATCCCAGGGTCCTAGGATCAAGCTCCTCATTGGGCTCCCTGCTCAACGAGAAGCCTGCTTCTCTGTCTGCCTGCTGCTCCCCCTACTTGTGCTCTCTCTCTTTCTGTCAAATAAATAAATAAAATTAAAATAAATAAATAAAAAGTAAATAATTTAAAAATATATTATTTATTTATTTGAGAGAGAGAGAGAACATGAGCAGGGAGAGGGGTAGAGAGAGAAGCAGGCTCCCCGCTGAGCAGGGAGCCTGATGCGGATGAATTGATCCCAGGACTCTGGGATCATGACCGGAGCTGAATGCAGCCACTTAACCGACTGAGCCACCCGGGCTCCTCCCCCCTCTATTCCTAATGTGGAGCTCCAACTCACAACCCCTAGATCAGGAGTTGTGTGTTCTACCGACAGAGCTAGCCAAGTGCCTTGAATAGAGATTCCTTAACTTTTTTTGGAGACAGAAGATCACTTGTATAGAATTCTATAGAATACAGAATATAACTGTTTGCATACTTGTAGTCTATCTCCTAGTCAATTTAAAAAGCAATTTTCCCAGCAGGACTTGCAAGATTAGAGGTATGAATAGCTTTTAGTTATTATTACTTTGATCCTCTAATGTAGCACATCTTGAGAATATTCAAGGGTCAGGACACTTTAATATGCTTGAATGCCTTCCCTACCACTTGTTGCTGTAGTATCTAGGAATGGACCACTTGCTTGTCACTTTTCTTTTCTACCTTTAGAACCCTACTTAAGGGTGGACTCCTTAGGGTCACTTTCCTGACTCCATTCTCCCACTTCAGCCTGTGAGAATCCCACTTTCCTTCAGAGTTCCTGCCATCATATCCTACACTTAACCACATGAAACTGGAATTGTCTGTCTCTTACACTGTAAGGAACCCTTTGAGAACTGGTTTATTCTGTGCCTGGAAGTTAGAGGGAATGGAGGGCAGCACTATTTAATACTTAAATAGTGGTCTGTTGATTGAGTTGAGTTCCTCCATACCACCCATCCCTGCTCCTCCCACTCCCACCTCTACATATTCTTTTAGAGGTATATATACCCCCACATATCCTAGTGTTAAAAACAAGACCACCATAAAATGGAGCCACTTATGTTTAGCCCCACATCACCGAAACAAGACTTAACATAACTATAGTTTGGGCTCTCCCAGAAATGGGATCTTAAGCCAGTCAATCAGTAAATCACCTAATCAGCACTAGTTAGGTATTTTGCCTGATAGACCCCTGCCATCCTCTAAAGCAAGGTGACTTTGCCATAACAATCTACCTTTTTGTCTAGTATAACTTCCTTATTCTCACTCCCATTTGCCTATAATAGTCTTTCATTTTGAAACTTTATTTTTTAAGTAATCTCTCTGCCCAACCTGGGGCTCAAACTCATGACCCAGAGATCAAGAGTTGCATGCTCTACCAACTGAGCCTGCCAGGAGACCCAATATTTTAAAATTCTTGATTCATATTGCTATATTATTTCCCAAAAGTTAGAAGACAACTTGTTTGGAAGTTGTATTCTGAACCTCACATAAATGGAATCATTCAGGGATGCCTGGATGGCTCAGTCGCTTAAGCGTCTGCCTTTGGTTGGGTTCTGGGATTGAGTCCGTAGGCTCCGTGCTCAGCGGGAAGCCTGCTTCTCCTTCTGTCTGCTCAGCCTGCCGCTCCCCCTGCTTGTGCTCTCTGACAAATAAATAAAATCTTTAAAAAATTAAAAAAAAAAAGGAATCATTCAGTGTCTCTTTTGAGCCGACTTAACAGTGCCTGTGATATGCTTCCAAGTTGTTGTGTTTATCAGTAATTATTTCCCCTGGCTGGGCAGTTCACTGTAGAACCACAATACAATTCATTTAGGGGCACAATTGCCGATGGATATTTGTGTTACCAGTGGTTGATTACTCCGATCAAAGCTGCTATGAACACTCTTGTACAAGCCACAGGTAGATGTATACACTCATTCCAATTGGAGTGGAACTGCTGGGTTGCAGGGTGACTATAAACTTGGCTCTAACAGACACTGTTTAAACAGTTTTCCAAAGTGGTTGTACCATAGGGCTGTTTTTACAACTTGGTCTGACTGTGAGGAAGGGAGATAACCTACAGGAACGATTTGCATCGGGTAATGTAAACTCCAACTTCGTGCTTGACTAAGCTAGATTCTTTCTTTCTTTCTTTCTTTCTTTTTTTTAAAGATTTTATTTATTTTGACAGAGAGAATGAGAGAGAGAGAGCACATGAGAGGGGGGAGGGTCAGAGGGAGAAGCAGACTCCCCGCCGAGCAGGGAGCCCGATGCGGGACTCGATCCCGGGACTCCAGGATCATGACCTGAGCCGAAGGCAGTCGCTTAACCAACTGAGCCACCCAGGCGCCTCTAAGCTAGATGCTTTCATTTAAATGCTCAAAACACGGTCAGGCAGGAGCCCCAATTTCACCCATGCGTAGACTTGGTAAGGCCAAGTGCCTTGCCCCCAGTTTCACTGTGGGTGGGCTTGGCCACACACTGTAACTGCCACACCGCCCCCGAACAAATTTCTTATTCAAATTTTGGAAAAACGGGTGTTTTTGAGAGCATTAGTTTAGCTCACAGTATGAAGAAAGTACGGCAAATCGCACGGGCCTCAACCCTCCTCCGGAGGCAGCGCCGATTTCCTCTCAGCGGGAACAAAGCAAGCATTCACTGAAGCCGCGTGAGGATCTGGTCGGGTCCCGCCCTTCACCTAGGCACCTGCGCAGATTGAGGCCGACGGAGCTAGGCGCCCCAGGCGCGCGTGACGTAGTAACGCTCGACGGTGCGTGATGACGCTAGGGCGTGCGCTCGGTGGCTCGTAGGGGAAGATGGCGGCTGCTCCTTTGGAGGAGAGGGATTGAGAGGGGTGGAAGGAAGAGGCCGGGCGGGAGAGACATTCCCGACAGTGAAGACGAACCCTTCGCTCACCATTCCTTAGGAGCTCTGCTCAGCGCTGGAGGGTGAGTGCAGCGGCGGCACGGGACCCCTCGCCTGCAGCAGGCGGCGGCACTTTCCGCCATTTTCAAGCTCGGCCGTTGCGTGCTTTGGGGGCCTGGAGGGGCGCCTGAGGACAGGTTGGGAGAGCAGTGAGGATCGTTGTCGGGAGGGCACTTTGAGGCTAGTTCGAGCTTTAGGGGAGGGAGCTAAAGGCTTGAGGCAGACTGGGGAAGGAGGGCATGGTAGGACTCCCTCCTGACTGGGAACCGGTGGCGACAAGAAGACGTAGGTAGGGTAGGCCACGAATAAGACGTGAAGTTTAGAGAAGGGAAACGCATTAAACTGAGGTTTGGGGCGGGAGTGGAAGGGGTTGAGCCGAGAGTTGAATGGAATGTGGCTTTGAGTAGTTGGTTCAAGGGGTCTCGGGAAGTTAATGCGAAACCTGTAAAACAGCGGCAGGCTTCGCCTCGATATTATCGTGTCTTGAAATTGGTGTTTGTAACAGGGATAAATCCACAGTTTGACAAGCAAAAACCCTCCTCCTTTGGAAAAGTTACATTCCTATTTTGTTTGCTTTAGATCATGCTACCTGCCAGTGTCCCTTCAATAACTCCCTCCACATCTCCGGTTTTAAGTTGCTTTCTGACAACCAGATATTTTAGGATCTTAGAAAACTTTATTTTTTATTTTTTATTTTATTTTTTTTTTTTTTTAACTTTATTTTTTAGAAAAGAAAATAAATACTGATACTAGGTTGTTGTAACCCTTGTGGTTAGTGGCCCTTCCGTTGAAAGAGGAAGGTCGGTCGATAGGGAATTCCGTAATTGGATCTGTTTAAATCAGATCAGAAAAGTTACTTGTAGAAAGCCTGTCAATATTTTGAAGTAATTTTTTTTTTTAAAGATTTTATTTATTTATTTGCGAGAGAGAGAATGAGAGACAGCATGAGAGGGAGGAGGGTCAGAGGGAGAAGCAGACTCCCTGCCGAGCAGGGAGCCCGATGCGGGACTCGATCCCAGGACTCCAGGATCATGACCTGAGCCGAAGGCAGTCGCTTAACCAACTGAGCCACCCAGGCGCCCCTGAAGTAATTTTTTCACAGATGACATTAAGTTCACTGTTCAGGAACTTTGGAAGACATTCGAGTATGAACAAAAAAGCCAGTGTTAAAGGAATACCTCTTGGGAGCGCTGAGTTGACTTTTAAGTACACTCTGGAGATCTAGTGCACGCAGTATTTTTTGCCTGTGAACGTGAAGCAGTGGTAGATCTATTTAATTCAAACAAAACTTTTAGAGACTGTTAGTTAAAAGGAAGCATGTTACTTGTTCCCATGGTGGCATTTTTCTTTTCCTAATCTTAATTGCATTTGACACCCATTTTTAATCACCATAAGATACTTTTGCACTTTTTAATTGGTCTTCCTGCCTAGAAGATAAAATACTGTAAAGATCTGAGTTTGTGCAGAGGCTTGAAGTTACGTATTTAGCCTATTTTATTGAAATTTACAGAAAAATTTTATCTTTCTATTCTCGTGTTAAGAGTATTGGTAGAAAGTTGGCCTTGTATCACAATGATTTAGTTTCAAATCCTTATCTATGATGTTGATGACTTAACTTGCATTCTTTGGTTGGTGAAAAATATTAAAAGGTCAGATTTTGCCATCACAGTTGTATCTTGATCTATGGCTTTAGTTACACTTTTACTAGCCACTTAAGGTGCTTATATAGTTCTCTCTGCTAAGTAGTAAGTCCATATTTTTCACATTACTTTGGGAAAAACATGTTATTTATTGCCCAAGTTCAAACTGTTTCATATTTCTGAATAAGGAAGTGAGGTCATAGTAAAGCTTGTTTTCTTTCATTCTGAAGATTTTATTTATTTGAGAGAGAGAGCACAAGGTGGTGGGTGGGAGGGAGAGGGAGGAGCAGACTCCCAGCTGAGCTGAGAGCAGAAGGCCGATGCTTAACTGACTGAGCCACCCAGGCACCCCCATAGTAAAGCTTTAAAACTACAGCAAATACATTGACAGAAATACTAGTGAAAGTCTTTCACTCACAGGCATACATATGGAATCCTTTTGAGAGTGCTTAGCAAAAAATTAGGACCTTTATGACTGTTTTTAGATAAAAGTGGTATTTGTAGTCTGCAGATTAGAAATCATCATCAAAGTATATTTACTTAAATATCAAACTTAACACTTGTTTAAGCATTGCAGATTTGTTGTTTTAAGATTCCAGATTTTCCTACTTTTCTGTCCAAATTATTCCAAGATTTCATTTGTGTTGAAACTTTTGCTTGTAAGAGGTGTTATATCTGGATATATATATATATATATATATATATATATATTTTTTTTTTTTTGGTGGTGGAATGGTGAAAGTTTCTCTGTTGCTGTAATGTGTTGTGTGATGAGTAAGTTGCCAGACCATAGTTTTAATGCTGAAAGATATTTGATCTTTGTCTTTTACATTGACGTAGGTTAAAAACTTTTCTCCTTGAACACACTCTGTGGTTGATATCATTTCTGTCCCCATTGCAAAAGACTTACATTAGTCCTAGGCACAGAAGCTCTTAAGTATGTTGGAAGATCTTACCCACATTACTCTCCTCCTTTCTGGTCCTTGAACATTTTATGTAGTATTTTCTGGTGGAGGAGTGACTTCATAATGTTTGTATTGTACCTTATATTCGTAATTTGAGTGCTTATAAATTCTCAGAGCTGGTTAATATTGGAAAGGGCATGGCTTTCAGCAGCAGACAGACCTAGGTTTGAATGACAGGCTCACCACTAGCCAGCTTTTTTTTTTTTTTTTTTGACAGAAAGAGCCCATGTGAGCACAAGCAGGGGGAGCAGCAGAGGGAGAGGGAGAAGCAGGCTCCCCACTGAGCAGGGAGCCCGACATGGGGCTCGGTCCCAGGACCCTGGGATTATGACCTGAGCCAAAGGCAGCCGCTTAACTGAGCCACCCAGGCGCCCCTAGCCAGCATTTTTATATTGGGTCAGTTAATTAAACTCTGAATGTCAGTTTTCTTATATATAAAAATGTTAATTATTGTAATAGTTATTTCAAAGGTGAAAGAAAGTGATACGTAGTAAGCATTTAGTAAATTTTGGCATTTTTTTTTCTGTGACTTGAATTTAATTGGCTGTCATTTTCAGGGTTTTTTTTTTGAGGTATAATTGACATGTAACATGATATTAGTTCGAGGTATACAACATAATGATTTAGTATTTGTATATATTGTAAAATGGTCACTTCAGTAAGTGTAGTTAACATCTGTCACCACAGTCACAATTTTTTTTTCTTATGATAACTTTTAAGATCTACTCTTAGCAACTTTCATATATGCAATAAAGTATTATTAACTATAGTCACAATGTTGTATATTACGTCCCCATGACTTACTTATTTTTTTTTTTTAAAGATTTTATTTATTTATTTGAGAGAGAGAATGAGAGAGAGCATGAGAGGGAAGAGGGTCAGAGGGAGACGCAGACTCCCCACTGAGCAGGGAGCCCGATGCGGGACTCGATCCAGGGACGCCAGGATCATGACCTGAGCCGAAGGCAGTCGCTTAACCAACTGAGCCACCCAGGCGCCCCTTACTTATTTTTTAATAACTGGAAGTTTGTACCTTTGACCCCCTTCGCCAGTTTTTAAAGTTTAACTCAAATATCTTTGTTAAAGATTTACAGTCTCATTCTTCTGTTAAACTGTTCCTTTCTCTGTGTTAATAGATTTTTATTTTATTTTATTTATTTTTAAAGATTTTATTTCTTTATTTGACAGAGAGAGAGCACAAGTAGGCAGAGCGGCAGGCAGAGGGAAAGAAACAGGCTCCTTGCTGAGCTGAAGCCCGATGTGGGCCTTGATCCCAGGACGCTGGGATCATGACCTGAGCTGAAGCCAGATGCTTAACCGACCGAGCCACCCAGGCGCCCCTCTCTGTGTTAGTAAAGCATTTTGTGCATATGTCTACTTAATATATTTTGATTATGTATCTTCTTCTCTCCTTTGTGAACTCTTTGAAGGCAGATACTTTATTGCCTTATATTTTTGTATTCATAAAGACTAGGCATTATAAAAATTGAGAAATGATAGAGTGAGTTTTCTACAAAAACTTTCCTCGGGGCACCTGGGTGGCTCAGTAGTTTAAGTGTCTGCCTTCGGCTTGGGTCCCAAGGTCCTGGGATCAAGCCCTGCGTCTGGCTACCTGCTCCCGTCAGGCTACCTGCTGGGCGGGAAGCCTGCTTCTCCCTCTCCTACTCACCCTGTTTATGCGCTCTGTCTCTCTCTCTGTCAAATAAATAAATAAAAATCCTTAAAAAAAACCAAAATACTTTCCTCATGACTACTGGGATCCGTTTTCACACAGATCTGGTTTATTTCTGCTCCTTGCCTTTACTTAAGACCTCTTTGCCTGCCTCCCTCCTCTCAGACCATTCATGTCCTATCCATTCCTCAAAATCCAGTTAAATCTCATCCCATTAATGAGGTCTTTAGTGACTTTATTTATAACTCCTCTCTCCAGTTAGCCTAGGGTCTGTGTGACTGCCTTTTGTTACTTTGTGTCCTATAGTACTTGGCACTATGCCTTACCCATTTTGAATAGGTCCTTGGATGATAAGTGCAAGACTATGCTGAGGCCGAGTTTGTTATAGGCACCTGCTGTATTCACTGTCGCACTTAGTAAGATACTTTTAAGGAACAATTTCCCCTTTTTTGTATGTGGAATATTCTGGTAACTTTTCCCCCATCTTTATATGTTATGAGAAATTGCAAACATCCAGAAGAGTTGAAAGAATGAACACCTATTGGGGCGCCTGGGTGGCTCAGTCATTAAGCGTCTGCCTTTGGCTCAGGTCATGATCCCAGGGTCCTGGGATCGAGCCCTGCATCAGGCTCCTGCTCCGTGGGAAGCCTGCTTCTCCCTCTCCCATTCCCCCTGCTTGTGTTCCCTCTCTCACTGTGTCTCTCTCTGTCAAAAAATAAATAAAATCTTAAAAAAAAAAAAATGAA